ATTCAGTGCTGTATCAAGTTTGAATGTTGTGTCCATACTTGCCCCAACTATTCAGGGTTCGACCTCTGCGGTTGTATCAAGCTGGGCACAGGGGAGCATTTTATTTTTAAAAGGGTTCATATTTGTTTCTTCAAAATTTTTAAAATTTCAAATTTTTTTAAAAAGTTTCAAGAAGAAATCTTCAATTGCACAGTATTGCATTAGATTTGTAAGATCTTTGACCACATTTATTTTGTGTCAGAACCCTATATTATGTCAAAAATTTGATCACAATCCAAATTCAGATAGTATCAAGCTTGAATATTGTATCCAAATTTGCCCCAACTGTTCAGAGTTTGACCACTGCGGTGGCATCAGGCTGCCCTCAGTGAAGCATTTTATTAAACTTGATACCCTAAGGATGATTGTGGCAAAGTTGGGTTCCATTTTTGTCTTGATAGTTTTTTATATGAAGATTTTGTTAAGTTAAAACACAACATCAGACACCATTTGATGGCAAAACCTCACCTAGAGCACCGTTAAAATGAGGATCCTCTAATTTACTCTTTGGATGGTAACAAATAACTATCAATCATTCTAGTTTGAAAGTACATGTATATTTAATAATTTTGTTTCTTAGGTCAAAATTACTGTAACATAAATTATGTTTCCTGCTTAAAATTGAAAACCAGTGATAAATTCATGACACAATATTGCCCAAACCACCTATCAAAGCCCAAAGCAAAGGAACAGCACTTAAATTGCTGCTACATATTTCAAATTGAGTGAGGCCTTCAACACAGCATTAGCTCACACCTCAGTGCAAGTTCAAGATGAGTGAATGGTATTTTGTTGTTCTTCCTTCAAGTATGTCATGTCTAGATATACCTCCTAGCTGGAAAACTAGGGGAGGATAGAGTTGAGTGGATCAAAAGTTAAAAAAGAATATCAACCAACCATCCTTTTGTTTAAAATTTACTTATATGAAAATTCTGAAAATATACACACCTTCAGTATGTGCATAAATTTGCTTCAAATAACATTCTAGATCAAAACTAGAAATATAGTAATCACAGGTACTCCAACCTTCAAAAAAGGATCACCACTGGGATAGGAGGAAAACCACATAATTTTAAATTTTTCAAACAATCAAGAACCGCTACTCTAGAACAGTAAAATTGCTATCCGTTTTGTGAATCAGTTCTTTTTTTATCATCATAGTACCCCAAATTTTCTATCTTCCCAAGGTTCAAGGAAAGACATTTATTAGGACCCCGCCGAATGGCGGACGCCCCTCTAGTGATCAGTCTGTCCGTTTGTCCGTCCGTAACAAATTGTGTCCGCTCTATATCTAGAGAACCATTATGATTTCAAAGTTTATACTTGACATGTATATTACCCAACACCAGAGGGTGTGTCATAATGTATGTACAACTTCCTAGGTCAAAGGTCAAGGTCAAAAACTTTGGTTTTAGTTGACAACCCCATGTCCTATGGTAAAGATTGTGTCCGCTCTATATCTTGAGAACCATTATGATTTCAAAATTTATACTTGACATGTATATAAACCAACACCAGAGGGTGTGTCATAATTTATGTACAACTTCCTAGGTCAAAGGTCAAGGTCAAAAACTTTGGTTTCAGTTGACAACCCCATGTCCAATGATAAAGATACAAATATTTTACCACACATAATTCACAGTGAGGCCCACAGAGATGGCTCCCATCTCAATGATATCTAGTTCGAATGATTTTTAATTACCATCAATTCCAAACTTGAATTTTTCAAATGAAGGATCATACTGTGAAATCTTGAATGTTAAAAATCCTAAATGACAATAAAATACTCAGCAGGGGGCAGCTTGTTATGACCCCAGAGAGTGAACCATGAACAGTCCGAGCAAGTATGGACACAACTTTCAACCTTGATACAGCTCTGAATTTGGATTGTGATTAAATATCTGACAATGAATGTGGTCTAAGAACTTAAAAATTTGAAATATTTGGACATTTACCTATTATGGTCCAATATCCAAAATCTGAATAACAGTTAGATTCAGCATATCAAAGAACCAAGTATATTCAATTTTTGTTGAAATCAAAAATAGTTTAATTTTGAACCCTGTGGACACCATTTTGGACCAACTTGAAAACTGGGCCCAAAATCAAAAATCTAAAAACATGTTTAGATTCAGCATAGCGAAGAACCCCAAGAATTCATTTTTTGTTAAAATTAAACTTTCCCTGTGCACCAATTTGAAAACAGGCCCAATATCAAAAATCTAAATACACAGTTAATATTCAGCATATCAAAGAACCACAAGAATTCAATTTTAGTTGGAATCAAACAAAGTTTTAATTTTGACCATTTGGTCCTCAGTGTGGACCAATTTGATAACTGCACCCAAAGTCTAAAATCTAAATACACAGTGAGATTCAGCATATAAAAAACAAACCATATATTTAATTTTTGTTAAATCAAAACAAAGTTGAATTTTTGACCCTTTGGACCCCTATTTGGACTAGCTTGAAAACTGGGTCCAAAATCAAAAATCTAAATACATATTCAAATTCAACATATCAAAGGACTCCCAAGAATTTAATTTTTGTGTAAATAAAACTTTTTTAAAAGTTTAATATTGGACTCTTTGTACCTTAATGTAGATCAATTTGAGAACGCTCCCAAAATTAAAAATCTAAATAAATTGTTTGATTTGGCATATCAAAATAGTAATTACTAAGATCTTTATGAAATCAAACTAAATTTAATTCTGGACCCTTTGGACCTTAATGTGGAAAAATTTAAAAACAGGGCCCAAAATCTAAATACATGGATAGATTCAGCATATTAAAGAACCACAAGTATTCAAGACTTTGAATTAAACCCCATTGAAATAGGTCAAGAAATAAGCAATTTATACATAGTACAGATGTATTGGAAAAGTATTGTTTTTGGCCCTTAATTCCTAAATGGTTTGAGCCATAACCCCTAAAATCAATCCCAACCTTCCTATTTTGGTATGGAACCCTGTGGTACTATTTCATAGTGATCCATACACTTATTCACAAGTTATTGTCCTGAAACAAGAAAAATGCTTGATTTTGGCCCCTAATTCTTAAACAGCTAGGACAATAACCCCCAAAATCAATCCCAACCTTCCTTTTGTAGTATAGAACCTTGTACAATTTCATAGAGATCCATTCTTTTATACTCAAATTATTGTCTGAAAACCCAATTTTATGGCCGCAAATATTTTGCGGTCATATAAAAATCAAACTTATCCACAGGTAAGTGGTCCAATACATTAAATGTATTTTTTTATGGCTGCCAACAGTTTCTGCACAATTATCAATCGTTCAACCCATGCTTTTCAAATTTTAATATGTTGATACTAATAATAAAATGGAGATCAAGTTCCATATTGATTATTTCCACTTTTACCATTCTGGTGTTATGGTCCTTGATATATTGGAAAATTGCACCTATGGTTTTCAAATTACAATATGTTGTTACTGATGATAAAATGGAGGTCAAGTTCAATATTGCTGATTTTCACTTTTACCGTTCAGGAGTTTTGGACCTTGATCTATTGGAAAATGGCACTTTATGTTGTTTCCATGCAATGACTTATGAACTACTTGACCAATGCTATTAAAATTTTATGTTGTTACTGATGACAAAATGGTAGTCAAGTTTAATTTTGATGATTTTCATTTTTGCCATTCAGGAGTTATGGTCCTTAATAGATTGAAAATCAGTTGCCTATAATTGCTTACATCCACTTCATTTGAACTTTGGTGGATAGTTGTGTCATTGGCAATCATACCACATCTCTTTATTTTTATATAGAATGTTACAGGTCAAAGCACCATTCAAAATACAAATAAACTGCTTCGCCAAGGGCAGCTGGATACGACCGCAGAGGTCCAACCCTGAACAGTTGGGGCAAAAATGGACACAATATTCAAGCTTGATACAGGTCTGAATTTGGATTGTTATTAAATATTTGACAGATTATAGGTTTCTGACACAGAATAAATGTAGTCAAAGAACTTAAAATTGGTTATATGATTTGAATTTATATTCAATTGAAGATTTCTTGCTTTTGTGCAATACGCCTTGCTGTTGCGCAATACTTAGTAAATCTGTTTTCAGACTATATACAAAGAATTAGCAATTGTGACCCCCCATTTTTCTTTGGAAAATTGACAATTTCTTAAATCTTGAAGAAAAAAATTGACACCCCCACAATAATTTTTTTTTTTGCCCCACCCCACCCTTTTCCAAAATTAAATATTTGAAGAAATTAAATCTGGAGGATAAAAAAATTGTCCCCCCCCCCCCCCCCTTCCTCTTTTCCAAAAAAAAAATAACATTTGAAGAAAATTTTCTTTTTGTAAAATATGGTACATTTTAAGAGACATCAATACACTTTAACACAAGTTATTGTCTGAAAACTAAAAAAATGCTTATTTTAGACCCTTTTTGGTCCCAAATTCCTGAACGGTTTGAACAATTACCCCCAAAATGAATCCCAACCTTCGTCTTGTGGTACAATTTCAGAGTAATCAATATACTTATACACAAGTTATTGTCCTGAAACTAGAAAATTGCTTGTTTTGGGCCCCTTTTTGGCCACTTATTCCTAAATGGTTGAGACCATCACCCCAAAAACAATCCCAACCTTTCTTTAGTGGTATTGAACCTTTTGGTAAAATTTCATAGAGATCCATACACTTAAACTTAAGTTATTGTCTAGAAACCAAATGTTTTCGGACAAAGACATGATAGCAATATACGACCCCAAAATTTGTTTGCGGTCATATAAAAACACAGTTTGCTGTCAATTTGGCAGCTCATTCCTTGTTATTATTTCCACAAAAGTATATGAATTCACAGTAATGGAAATACTATGTGAAGGGCACAATATGAAATCAATCTGTTTGCAGGTGACATGAAAGTCCATACAATCAACTTGGAGAAGTCTTCATAACATTTGGAAGTAAACATAAAATACAAAAATTGTTACATCTTTTAATGAATAAACATGTTTGCAGTTTAGTGTCTGAGAAATCATTTCAGCTCTCCAAAAATGTCAATTTGATTCCAAAAGCATATTTATAAACATACAAAATAATTGTAAAGATAACAAGATTTATAAAAGAATTCAGAAGTGTAATTCTAATAGCACAATTAGTAGAGCAAAAAAAATGAATGTGTCAGATTGTTGAAAAAGTGCAACAATTGAAAAAAAAAAAGTACAATCAAACACTGGTTATACCATTGAATGGAATGACTGTTTTATTCATGAGGTTCAATTTTTTTAAGCTGTGATTATTTCATTTTACATAAACAATTTCATTGGTAGACACCTTTTTCATGATCTTTTTCTAATTTGCAGAATTTAAAATGTTGAATGTATGACTATGAACAGGCTATATTTGTTTAAAATATTTTCCTTCTCATGAGCTGTAGATTAATGAAATGACAACAAATTCAGTAAAACTACTTAATTATACGAATTCTTGACAAGACAAGTTAACTGGCAGATGCTGAGAGTTGAGTCAAGAGCACATCCTGATTTGTTTGTTACTGAAATGTTTTTTTTATGTAAATTAAGAATCTATTAGTTTCAGCTTTAACTGTGATTCAATTTTTAAATATTATTATTACAGTTCAAAGTTCCAGACTTTCTTTTCTAGATTTTCTCAGCCCTTCCATATCTTTTCATCATGAGTCTCAATAAGATTTTATTAATTTTTAACTTAGAATGCTTTATGTGTATTAAGGTTCAAATCAGACTTTCCATGTAAAATTATTATAGGTCATCTCAAAACATCAAAAAACCACAGACCTCAGTTCAACATATTTTATTCTTCACAAAGTACAAATTGTACTTCTTCTGGTATCTAATAAATTATTGTTCGTAAATGTCCATGAAAAAAGGATAACCTTTTCCTATATTTGTTTTGCCCTGGAAACTTTGTTATAAACAATGCCATAATATCTGTTCCTGTTGAACATATACCTTTTATTCCCTTTAAATAGGAACAATGCAGTAATATTTGTTCCAGTGGAAAATATTCCAGAATATTTTTTTCCATTTGGAACTATTATGAAGGAACTTCTATTTCATCACAAAAGGACTGGGGTACTTTTTTTTATTGCCAATCATAATATCAAGTATTTTGATAGTATGCATATTTTCCCCATCATAAATTGTATCCATGAATTAAATAAAGTGAATTTCATAAACTTCGATCAAAAACATTGTCTTTTTAAAAATTTAACCAGAAACTTCTGACATAAGTTTGATTTGGACTTCACTATTGTCTGGATTAAGATTAATCAGTCTGTTACTAGACTCAGCCAAATCTGATATGGATACACGTCCATGCTGTTTAATATATTTAGCCACAGATTCAAGTTCCTCCATTGTTATATAAATAAATTTTCCTCTGTCATCAATAACTCCAGTTAAACGTCCTTCGTCTTGTAATTCCTGAACTCTATTGATTGCATCCTGAAATTAAAAATCTTCAATATAGATTTCAATCATATTTTTTTTTTTTGTTCATTGTTTTGTATATAAATCAGGCAGTTAGTTTTCTCATGTGAATTGTTTTACATTTGTCATTTCTGGGCCTTTTATAGCTTGCTATATTGTATGGGTTTTGCTCATTGTTGAAGGCTGTAGAGTGAACTTCAACATCATTTGGATTCTGGTAGAGTTTTCTCATTGGCAATCATACCACATCTTATTTCTATATTGACAAAGAACCAAGTCATGCTATGTAAACTATGTGTTATTTTTTGTTGTTGTTTGTCTTCGTTTGTATGTCTATTTTTTTTTAGGATTTGCATGTTGGTGGTTGGTGTGGTTTGTTTTACTGTAATTTGTTTTTAGAAATTTATGTTATCCTTTTTTTTTAACAATTTTTATACGACCGCAAAAATTGAAAATTTTTTGGTCGTATATTGGTATGATGTTGGCGTCGTCGTCGGCGTCGTCGTCGTCGTCGTCGTCGTCGTCGTCGTCGTCCGGCGTCGTCTGGCGTCGTCCGAAGACACATTGGTTTTCGCACTCTAACTTTAGTTTAAGTGAATGGATCTCCATGAAATTTTACCATAAGGTTCAATACCATGAATGGAAGGTTGGGATTGATTTTGGGGGTTATGGTACCAACAGTTACGGAATTAGGGGCCAAAAAGGGGCCAACAATAAGCATTTTTGTAACTTCCAGACAATAACTGGTGTGTAAGTGTATGGATCTCTCTGACATTGTACCACAAGGTTCCATATCACAAAGGGAAGGCTGTAATTGATTTTGGGGGTAATTGCCTCAAAATGTTAGAAATTAGGGGCCAAAAAAGGGGCAAAAAACAAGCATTTTTCTAGTTTCATGACAATAACTTGTGTGTAAGTGTTTGGATATTTCTGAAATTGTACTACAAGGTTCCATATCACAAAGGGAAAGTTGGAATTGAGTTTGGGGGTAATTGCCCGAAACGTTTAGGAATTGGGGGCCAAAAAGGGGCCAAAAATAAGCATTTTTCTAGTTTCCAGACAATAACTTGTGTTCAAGTGTATGGATCTCTCTGAAATTGTACTGCAAGGTACCATACCACAAAGGGAAGGCTGAGATTGAGTTTGGGGGTGATGAATCATAAGGGGGTTCAAAAAATTTTGGGGGGGGATTTTTTTTTTTCTTTTTTTTTTCTTTTTTTCCTTTTTTTTTTTCTTTTAAAATTTTCCATTTTAAGTTGGTTATTTCTGATTTATATTTAAAAGCAAATAATAATGATATGGTAGGAGAAACACACCAAACAGGATGTGTAAATTATTATATAATAAGTATTGTGCAATAGCAAGAAATTTTCAATTGCACAGTATTGCACAATAGCAAGAAATCTTCAATTGCACAGTATTGCGCAATAGCAAGAAATCTTCAATTGCACAGTATTGCGCAATAGCAAGAAATATCCAATAGCACAATATTGCGCAATAGCAATAAATTGTCAATTGTACAGTATTGCGCAATAGCAAGAAATAATCAATTGCACAGTATTGTGCAAAAGAAGATACTTCGTATAAATTGCTTATTTCTTGATCAATTTCAATGGGGTTTTATTCTTGAATTCTTGGGGTTCTTTAATATGCTGAATCTAACCGTGTATTAAGTTTTTGGATTTTGGGCCCCGTTTTTAAATTGGTCCACATTGAGGTCCAAAGGGTCCAAAATTTAACTTTGTTTGATTTCATCAAAAATTGAATTATTGGGGTTCTTTGATATGCCGAATCTAACCGTGTATTTAGATTCTTAATTTTTGGTTCTGTTTTCAAATTGGTCTACATAAAGGTCCAAAGGGTCCAATATTAAACTTAGTTTGATTTCAACAAAAATTGAATATATGGGGTTCTTTGATATGCTGAATCTAACCATGTATTTAGATTTTTGATTATGGGCCCAGTTTTCAAGTTGGTCCAAAATGGGGTCCAAAATTAAACTTTGTTTGATTTCAACAAAAATTGAATATATGGGGTTCTTTGATATGCTGAATCTAACCATGTATTTAGATTTTTGATTATGGGCCCAGTTTTCAAGTTGGTCCAAATCGGGGTCCAAAATTAAACTTTGTTTGATTTCAACAAAAATTGAATATATGGGGTTCTTTGATATGCTGAATCTAACCATGTATTTAGATTTTTGATTGTTGGGCCTCGTTATCAACTTTGTCCACATTGAGATCAAAAGGGTCCAAAATTAAACTTTGTTTGATTTCATCAAAAATTGAATATATGGGGTTCTTTGATATGCTGAATCTAACCATGTATTTAGATTTTTGATTATGGGCCCAGTTTTCAAGTTGGTCCAAATCGGGGTCCAAAATTAAACTTTGTTTGATATCAACAAAAATTGAATATATGGGGTTCTTTGATATGCTGAATCTAACCATGTATTTAGATTTTTGATTATGGGCCCAGTTTTCAAGTTGGTCCAAATCGGGGTCCAAAATTAAACTTTGTTTGATTTCAACAAAAATTGAATATATGGGGTTCTGTAATATGCTGAATCTAACCGTGTATTAAGTTTTTGGATTTTGGGCCCCGTTTTTAAATTGGTCCACATTGAAGTCCAAAGGGTCCAAAATTTAACTTTGTTTGATTTCATCAAAAATTGAATTATTGGGGTTCTTTGATATGCCGAATCTAACCGTGTATTTAGATTCTTAATTTTTGGTTCCGTTTTCAAATTGGTCTACATAAAGGTCCAAAGGGTCCAAAATTAAACTTAGTTTGATTTTAACAAAAATTGAATTTTTAGGGTTCTTTGATATGCTGAATCTAAACATGTATTTAGATTTTTGATTATGGGCCCAGTTTTCAAGTTGGTCCAAATCGGGGTCCAAAATTAAACTTTGTTTGATTTCAACAAAAATTGAATTCTTGGGGTTCTTTGATATGCTGAATCTAACCATGTATTTAGATTTTGGATATTGGACCATAATAGGTGAATGTCCAATTTAAAATTTTTAAGTTCTTAGACCACATTCATTCTGTGTCAGAAACCTATGCTGTGTCAAATATTTAATCACAATCCAAATTCAGAGCTGTATCAAGCTTGAATGTTGTGTCCATACTTGCCCCAACTGTTCAGGGTTCGACCTCTGCGGTCGTATCAAGCTGCACCCTGCGGAGCATTTTATTACAATTTTCAACTTGTTCAGAATATAAGCAACTCTGAAATCATATAAACACATTTGTTTTAAGTCTACTACTTTCATATTAAAAACTCATGATAATTATAGTTGTTGTTATTTTGCAAAGCATTTGGAATGTCATAAAAGCAAAACCAAGATTGAGAATAGTTTGTGGGGGTGAGGGAAACATTGCTAAGATTTTTATGTAAGTTATCCTGCACAATACGAACATCACAATAATAAGAACTCACATTCTGAATTCAATATATATATATATATATATATATCTGTATGGAGATTTTCCTGAAGTCGCAATTATAAATCTCTCATTTTTGTCAATTCTTCAAAAATCGCAATAATAAATGCATGTAATAATTTTTGAATTTACAGTTTTAAATCATTGTTTGATATGAGTAACATCCCATCAATGGCAGTAGAACTGGTTTCCTGCAATGCTTGGTAACAGTGAGATATAAACAACAAAATGCGTGTCACCTTAGCAGACAATCTTCTAGTATCAATAGTTGGCAGTGGACACTGAAAGTTGTTGTCCAAAGTCTCAGAAAAATTGAACAAGAGCCGTTTAAGTCATATAAAATTAATTTTTGTTCAGCATTTTACCTACCTGTGTTTTAATTTTGAAGTGAGAGGCTAAATCTTCAAGCATGATAACTTTCATTTCCTAGAAGAAAATAATGTAAAACCATATTTTACAGGGAAAACAATCAAATATGATATATACGTATAGATTATGAGCCTCATGCTATTACAAATAGCATTTCATGTAATTTATGTACAGAAATAAAAAATATGGGTTGAAAATTTCTCATCCTAATAGAAAACCATATTGTATGAAAAATTCAATAATGATATATACTACTAGACTTATGAACATCATGCTATTATAAATAGCACACCATTATGTATAGAAATAGACAAATACTGATTAAAAAGTTCTAATTCTAATGGAAAGTGCTTGATGAAAGACTGTCTCAAACATTCTATAGAGGGTGTCTACTCATAACTTTAGGCTTTATTGTAAATTCACTATTGAGAATGAAAGCAGCTGATGTTTGGTCATCTTGAACTTCCATCAATGTGGTGTAAAAACTTAATAAAATGCTTCGCTGGGGCGCAGCTTGATACGACCGCAGAGGTCGAACCCTGAACAGTTGGGGCAAGTATGGACACAACATTCAAGCTTGATACAGCTCTGAATTTGGATTGTTATTAAATATTTGACACAGCATAGGTTTCTGACACAGAAAGAATGTGGTCTAAGAACTTGAATTTTTTTAATTTACCTATTATGGTCCAATGTCCAAAATCAAAATACATGGTTAGATTCAGCATATCAAAGAACCCCATATATTCAATTTTTGTTAAAATCAAACAAAGTTTAATTTTGGACCCCAACTTGGACAAACTTGAAAACTGGGCCCATAATCAAAAATCTAAACACATGTTTAGATTCAGCATATCAAAGAACCCCAAGAATTCAATTTTTGCTAAAATCAAACTAAGTTTAATTTTGGACCCTTTGGACCTTAATATAGACAAATTTAAAAAACGGGACTTAAAATTAAAAATCTAAATACACGGTTAGATTTGGAATATCAAAGAACCCCAATAATTCAATTTTTGATGAAATCAAACAAAGTTTAATTTTGGACCCTTTTGACCTCAATATGAACCAATTTGATAGCGGGGCCCACAAATAAAAAATCTAAACTCATGGTTAGATTCAGCATATCAAAGAACCCCATATATTTAATTTTTGTTGAAATCAAAAAAAGTTTAATTTTGGACCCCAACTTGGACCAACTTGAAAACTGGGCCCATAATCAAAAATCTAAACACATGTTTAGATTCAGCATATCAAAGAACCCCAAGAATTCAATTTTTGTTAAAATCAAACTAAGTTTAATTTTGGACCCTTTGGACCTCAATGAAGACCAATTTAAAAAACGGGACCCAAATTAAAAATCTAAAAACACGGTTAGATTTGGCATATCAAAGAACCCCAATAATTCAATTTTCGATGAAATCAAACAAAGTTTAATTTTGGACCCTTTTGACCTCAATATGAACCAATTTGATAGCGGGGCCTACAAATAAAAAATCTAAATACATGGTTAGATTCAGCATATCAAAGAACCTCATATATTCAATTTTTGTTGAAATCAAACAAAGTTTAATTTTGGACCCCAATTTGGACCAACTTGAAAACTGGGCCCATAATCAAAAATCTAAATACATGTTTAGATTCAGCATATCAAAGAACCCCATATATTCATTTTTTGATGAAATCAAACAAAGTTTAAATACTGGACCCTATCTCGGACCAACTTGAAAACTGGGCCCATAATCAAAAATCTAAACACATGTTTAGATTCAGCAAATCAAAGAACCCCAAGAATTCAATTTTTGTTAAAATCAAACTAAGTTTAATTTGGACCCTTTGGACCTCAATGTAGACCAATTTAAAAAACAGGACCCAAAATTAAAAACCTAAATACACGGTTAGATTTGGAATATCAAAGAACCCCAATAATTCAATTTTAGATGAAATCAAACAAAGTTTAATTTTGGACCCTTTTGACCTCAATATGAACCAATTAGATAACGGGGTCCACAAATAAAAAATCTAAATACATGGTTAGATTCAGCATATCAAAGAACCCCATATATTCAATTTTTGTTGAAATCAAACAAAATTTAATTTTGGACCCCAATTTGGACCAACTTGAAAACTGGGCCAAAAATCAAAAATCTAAATACATGTTTAGATTCAGCATATCAAAGAACCCCAAGAATTCAATTTTTGCTAAAATCAAACAAAGTTTAATTTTGGACCCTTTGGACATTAATGTAGACCAATTTGAAAACTGGACCCAAAATTAAAAATCTAAATACACTGTTAGATTCGGCATAACAAATAAATAAATGTGATCAAAGATTTTACAAATCTAATGCGCCATACTGTGCAATTAAAGATTACTTCTTGAAATTTTTCAATATTTGAAATTTGAAAAAAAAATAATATTTGAAGAATAATTCTTTTTAATTTCTGAAATCTGAAATGAGAAAAAATTGGCCCCCCACAATTTCTTTTTATCCCCCCCCCTTTTTCCCCCAAAAAAATTCTTTCCCTCAAGATATGGTCATAATCTCAATTCAAATTTCCAATGGAGTTGGCAACCATAATTACCCATTTAAATTTACCATAGTGCTAACTTAATCTATTTTATAATAGAATTAATAAAAATATAGTGTCAAATCTTTCATATGGATTTTTTTGTAAAAAAAAAAGATGAAAACATTTGCAGATATTTTTACTGGTCTTCCTTTATAAATATGCATTTCTTTAAACATAATTTAAAAGCAGTGTAAGGGAAGTAACCAAAACATTGTATTTGGATTACCTCCCTTACACTGTTTTAGATTATCTTTATTGTTCATTAACCATTACTTTATACATAATTTAAAAGCAGTGTAAGGGAGATAATTTCAATGATGTATTTGATTTATCTCCCTTACACTGCTTTAAATTATGTTTTGTACTAAAGTATTTGTCCATTAACCAGGACAACCTTGTTTTTCCCCCTTTTTTGCCCCTAATTCCTAAACGGTTTGAGCCATAACCCCCCAAAGCAAATCCTAACCATCCCTTTGTGGTATGGAAACTTGTAGTATAATTTCAGAGAGATCCATACACCGTTCCACAGTTATTGTCTGGAAACTAGAAAATGCTCATTTTTGGCCACTTTTTGGCCCCTAATTCCTTAACTGTTGGTACCATAACCCCCAAAATCAATCCCAACCTTCCTTTTGTGGTATTTAACCTTATGGTCAAATTTCAAAAAGATCCATTCACTTAAACTAAAGTTAGAGTGCGAAAACCAATATGTATTCGGACGACGACGCCGGACGACGACGCCGGACGACGACGACGACGACGACGACGACGCCAACGTCATACCAATATACGACCACAAAATTTTTTTGCGGTCGTATAAAAACTAGTTAAAACTCAATACTTTTCCTGAAAAAATGCATGTACCAAGTCAGGCATTTGCAAATTATTTATTTTGTTTGTACTCCAATAGTCCAACTTAACTTTACTAACACAAACTGAAAGAATTGAGGTTGTTGCTGATTATAAAGTTGACCTTAGATGTTTTAGCTACTATTTTCAGGTTATATCTCTTTAACTGTTTCGGTCCTTATACATCTTTGGCTTTCAAACATTTGGCTATGAGTGTTCCTGATGAAGGTATATCTAGAAAAGCACTTTGGATGCATGCAATTTATAAAGTGTTGTTTTCATATTTTATAAAGAAGTTATTACTCATGATGAAAAACAGAAGATAGTCTTACCTTTATATAATCTATAAATTCTTGTAACAGAGATTGTGACTGAAAAATAATATATTTTATACATATTACATATCAAAGCAGTATTCTGTATAAAGTAATTGTTTTAGAACTATGACAAAAAGAATGTTAGAAATATAAAAAAGACTTGAAACAAATTTCTGTCTACTTTTTTTTTAAGATGTAATATGATGAGAAAATGAGTTGCTTTCTAATAAAAAAAAATTGGGGTCAAGCTTGATATATATAGATACTTGACTATTGTTAACCTCTAGCTGTTTGTTTTTTGTGTCCTTAGGTTGATACCTTATTGAAATTCACCCAAGATCTTTTATTCATAATTACTGGTTTAAGCATTAATAATAAATGTGAATGGTAATAATTTATACAAAGCACAAAAATCTCATCATTCACCTCAAAAGCTAACCAAACCTTTAAACAGACTTATTCAGAAGGGATATAGTTACGATACTGTTGTCAGGCCATTAAAGATGGCATTTTTTGGAATCAATATTGATTCACTCATAGGGTCTCTGCATCAGAAATAAACACATTTATTCTAAAACCAGTTGTTGGCATGATACGTTATGTTTTTATATTGCATATTTTATGATGGTATGATACTAAACCCCTAATGGGAGGGAATGTGCTTGATTTTCATATGATGAAGACATAATCTTTCAATCAGTTTAATTGAGGTCTAGAGCTGGCATGTCAGTAACTACTAGTAGTACTTTGTTAATTTATGTTGATTATTGTCATTTTGCTTAGTTTCTTCTGTTACCTATTCTAACTTCGGACTCAGACTTCTTTTGAACTGAATTTTACTGTGCTTATTGCTGTGTGTTTGTTTATTCCACATTGGCTAGAGGTATAGGGGAGGGTTGAGATCTCACAAAACATGTTGAACCCCACCACATTTTTGTGTCTGTCCCTAGTCAGGAACCTCTGGCCTTTGTTAGTCTTGTATTTTTTTTGAATTTTTGTTCATTTATATGTTTTGTGAGTTTAGTGTGACGTCCATTTTCGCTGAACTAGTTTACATTATTGTTTAGGGGCCAGCTGAAGCTCGCCTCCAGGTGTGGGATTTTCTCGCTGTGCTGAAGACCCATTGGTGGCCTTGGGCTGTTTTCTGCTCTTTTGTCGGGTTGTTGTCTCTTTGACACAATCCCCGTTTCCATTCTCAATTTTACTATCATGTTATAATAGTTACATAGAAACAAAATCCTAACTTTGTTTAATTGACCCCTTTAAATTTGACCATTTTTCTGTTTCAAATTTTCAATTGGAAATGAATTTCACCTGCCTAATGTAATCTGAATTTCAAGGAAACAATCTAGTTAAAGAAACATTTTCTATGCAGATTTGAAAAAATGAGAGTCTTCAAGGGAAGATTGTCACTTGCCGTTTCCAAACAATATTAGCAGAAAAGGCAAAGACCATGTTTGGGTTAAGTAAGCCCCAAAAATCTCCCAGATAAAAAATCAAAATAAAAAGTGAACACCATTATGTTCTGTATAAGAATCTGTGCAAGTTTGGTTTCAAGGAGTTACAGATTAACAACATTTGACATGGACAACCCATGCAGACAATCCCTCAAGATAACAGAAGTGTTTCCTATGTGTTGCTATAGTTTCCTTGTCAGGTAACACAAAAATTCACAACTTGCATCTGATACATACCGATAGATCTGGCCCTATATCTTCTTCTCCTTCTTCATCAACAGTAAAAGCTGCTTTCAATTTTAAATATTCTTCATATTCCCGTTTTTCTTCTTCCTCCTTTTTAAGCTGCTCTTGTTTTGCCTATTTAACAAAAATGAATATCTAAAAAACCTAGCATGAAAATGTCAAATACAGTAATTGAGAGTTACATGATTGTTTAAGAAATAATATTGTAAGGGTAATACATAGCATCCATCTGCACAAGTTAAGGGTAGAGCCAGCTGTATAAATCATTCAACTATGACCCTTCTTCTTTCTTGGATCTTATTAAACCTATTTTTGTTACTAAAAAAAGCTGACACTAAATCAGTTAAGACTCATATTTTATTTTCTGTTTCATCAATAATTTTTTGGTCTAGCGTTTAAGTGTGTGATTCTTTCATTTATTTGTTGCTAGCTATAGACTCATAAGAGATTTTTTGTGTGTTCAATTTTCTTTTACATATGTTTGTCCATATGTTTCTGCAATATTGTCTTTTCAGCATTTAATCTATTTTTATTTTATATCAGTAAATCTGTACTAAAAATTATTTGTATTTATATCTTGTCCCTACATAATAAGAATGTTTACCTCCTCCTCATCTTGGGCTTTTTGTATTTCTTCTTCCTTCTGTCTTTGTTTTTCTAACAGTGCATCTCTTTTTTTCTTATCTTCTCTTTCTTGTTCTTCTGCCTAAAACAATTTTAATAAAAATACTGATTTATACAAAAATTTGCAATTGAAAAAATTGTACCGTTCTTTGAATTGGTTAAGTGATTATTACACAAGTCTGGGTATTAAATATGACAAGTTGCTTGTGAAATTTCAAATGTACAAAAATGTTTCACTAGTCAAGTATCATATCTTTATATCTTATATATTATTATAAGTATTGTATTTTTTAGTTCAACAAATTGATTTTCAGGATTTAAATATGAAAGCTTATATCTTATTACCAATTAACTGTCACAACAGAGATGAACAAGCATTCTGAGAGTATTGCATGGCAATACATAGTCCCCTACCGGTTAAAAATTCATTGTACTGGAACAAAATGCTAACTTAATCTATAACTTGGCATGTAAACTATATAACAAATATCAAGTCAATATGTTCAAGCATGATGAAAAAAGTGTGGAAAACTTATTATTTAAGTGAATTTTCTAAGTCCAAGGACCATAACTCTGCACAAAATCATCAGACCAGAACAAAATTCGATCTTGATCTGTAACTTGTCATGATAAAACTATATAAAAATTATCAAATCAATATCTTTAAGCATGACAAAAAAAAGTATGGAAAACTGATTATTTGACTTAATTTTCTAAGTCCAAGGACCATAACTCTGCACAAAATCATCAGACCAGAACAAAATTCGATCTTGATCTGTAACTTGTCATGATAAAACTATATAAAAATTATCAAATCAATATCTTTAAGCATGACAAAAAAAAGTATGGAAAACTGATTATTTGACTTAATTTTCTAAGTCCAAGGACCATAACTCTGCACAAAATCATCAGACCAGAACAAAATTCGAACTTGATCTGTAACTTGTCATGATAAAACTATATAAAAATTATCAAATCAATATCTTTAAGCATGACAAAAAAAAGTATGGAAAACTGATTATTTGACTTAATTTTCTAAGTCCAAGGACCATAACTCTGCACAAAATCATCAGACCGGAACAAAATTGGAACTTGATCTGTAACTTGTCATGATAAGACAATACACCAAATATCCAATCAATATCTTCAAGCACGAGGAAAAAGAGTGTGGAAAACTGATTTGCCGGACAGACAGACAGACAGGCAGACAGACAGACAGACAGACAGACAGACAGACAGACAGACAGACAGACAGACAGACAGACAGACAGACAGACCAGACCAGACAGACAGACAGACGGAGTGCAAACCTAAAGTTCCCTTCGACTTCGTCTATAGGGGACTAACAAGTAAAATAACCTATGTATGAATGAATGCTAATCGTAAATGCAGGTAATGCATACTTTGAAACTTTGGGCTTATGTCTAAAAGGGGAGATAGGGGGAGGGGTCTTTTATCCTGCTCCTTGCATTGATAATGCAACTTCATACCAAATATCAGTATCATTTCATTAGGATTTACTTTTAAATTGACCTACATGTAATCAAAACTTAATTGATTGTAGATATTATTACATACTTTCTGATGGAGCTCATGGTTTTGCATCCTTGATGCAGCTTAAATGAATGCAGTTATCCTGACTAATCAACTGGTTCTTGGGATGATATTGACTTCATGTAAATACAGAATATCAATGGATTGTCTAAAACAGCACTTGTATGCAAGGAACACAGGACAGAGCTGATATTAGTAGAAATATTTATTTCACAGGAAAATAAATGTCTTTAATGTCAGTAAAAGTCTTGTCTATCCTTTGTCATGATCTATCCTTTGTCATGAGCAAAGTTTCAATTTCAAAATTTCACAAACGGTCAGTTTCAGGGTTAGAAAATTTACATGACAGATGGTTTACAAATCTGGTGATGTCTTAGGGTTAAATAAGAATTGATTACCAATCTCCTTTTGAGTGATGCCTTATCACACTTGATATAGCTCATCAACATATTTTACATGAGTAACACGACAGGTGTCACATGTGGAGCAGGATCTGCTAACCCTCAAAGAGCACTTGAGAACACCATCTGTATTTTGTGGGGTTCATGTTGCTCAGTCTTCAGTTTTCTACAACGCATGTGTTCGAATATCACTTTGGTATATTTCACCTCTCTCTTATTTATAGGTCAAAATGTGAGTAAAAATATCTGAGTTTTAAAGAAAGTATACTTGAATGCTGTATGGTGACCTATAGATCCACATCATTTGGACTCTGATTGAAAGTTATCTCATTGGCAATAGTACCACATTTCTTTATCTTATATTAAGTTATCATGAAACATAGAATGACTAATCCCTTTGGGTCTTACTTTTATTAGTTGTGACATTGTCAAAAAAAGGTTCATGAATCAGTAAAACCAAACGAGTTTTCATCAGACATATGAAAAATTGCCTAGTTTTTTATGTGTAAAGTCAAATAACTCTTGAATGACAAATTATCAAAAGGTGGCTAGTCTTCACTGAATCTAAAATTGTATAAAAATTTGGTAAGGAGTGGTTAAAGCATGCTTGAGTTATTGCAAGACATACCTGGCTTGGTTGATCGGTCGAAAGGATAATTACATAATTACAACCAATGGGCATGACTTACCAATCTGTTAGCTTTCTTTTCAGCCTTCTCCTGTAATTTTTTTTGCTTTTTTGCTCCAATTTTCCCGTCTCTTTCTGTATTGCCAAACATGTCTTCTTCTTCTTCACTACCTTCTGCTAAAATAATAACAACAGAACTTGATATGGGTGCTATTAATTTACTTCAAAGCTTGTGAATTACCAGGCATAGTCCTTTCAACTATTTGAATTTGAGTTTGATAATTTTTTTACTACCTGGAATATGGAAGTTTTTTGTCACATATAAATAATTCAGCTAAGTAAAACTCTGCAATAACAGAGTCGATCTAATTGAAAATAAGATTTCTTATAGCAACACACACTAAATAACTGAGTGAGAGAGATCAGGTTTTAATCTAATTGTGACAGTATAGATTTATCTGATTCTCTGTCCTATCGTCTATGTTTTTTACATTTAAAACAGTTAACAATGAATAAATAGTGGGACTCACCAATATTTTGAAATACTGACTTGGGACATACCAAATCAAATTCATACAAAGAACCCTGGATGTAAACTTACCTGTAAAATTGTGTTTTATATATCGCCTTTTTCTAGAGATTTTATATTGGTCTAGAAATCAAACTGTAATGCATGTTGTCAATTTCAGTGTATTTTTTATGATGAAGACAAATGTAATTAAAAGTTTTTGTAAAATATACCAGAATCATCTTCCCTGTTCATCATTCTTCTTCCTCTTGGTCTCACACGCTGGCGTGCCCCTCTTGGAACATTATCAGCTGCTTGTCTCTCTGCAATATTTCGTCTTGGTGCAGGTTCATCTTTTTTACCTGGATTGATCAACAAATTTGCTCATACATATTATCAATTCACTGTTTCAGAATCTAATGCCTCCTGGGTAATATTTTCAAAAGCGTACAACAAAACGTTGTGATTGGTTTAAAACGTACTAAACAATAGAAATTCAACCAATGACATACCGTTATCTTCAATTTGGTGTACGAACAATGAGATTACCAATAGTCCTTTAAATTTTGAAAAGGCGAATTAAACATAGTACATATTATCTAATCATAGTATTTCCAACAAATACTAATAAAGAATTATAATCCAAAATTATCTTGTGTTATCACAAAATTAAAGGTTTATGTTGAGAAAATTCAGAACGTTACTGGAAATCCATGGGTGAAGGAGAACAATCTTAAAATAGCCTCAACTATCAAATGGACATTATTTTTCACTACATACAAAGACTGCAAATAGTCAGTGTGTAACAATCAATTATTGATTTATAAAACTATCAACTGTTATGCTTGCTTATTTCACAATATGCTTGTCAGTGATTTATGCTACGTGTATTTCTGCGATTGGCTTTGAAAGAGGGACATCATGTTTTTTTTTTAACACTGATGCTAGTGATGTTTAAACCAAATTTTACTGACATATAATATGTATATATATATTAGACCGGTTTCAATATTATGTTATTTGGGTTGGAGTGATTTCCCTTGGACATTGGTTGAAACCGTTTAATTTTTTAATTTAAACATGTGGTACAGCCAAGTCAAAGAAAAGATCGTAACAAGATTGTAGTTGTAATTCATACAAGGCTTAAAAGAATTCTGAAAAAAAACATTAATGTATATCAAATAGAGGCTCTAGAGAGCCTGTGTCGCTTACCTGCATCATCTTCAACAATGGCCACTTATCAAAATCATCATTAGAGTGGAATAACTCCAAGAAGAACACATTCTGAGAGTATTGCATGGCAATACATAGTCCCCTACTGGGTAAAAATTCGTTTTACTGGAACAAAATGCTAACTTGTTCTATAACTTGTCATGGTGTAAACAAAAAGTAAATATCATGTCAATATCTTCAAGCATGACTAAAAACAGTGTGGAAAACTGATTATATGAGTGAAAAAAACATTAGATATGTTTAATAGTTCTCTAAAATTAGATATGATGTAATACAGTGTAATTTTTTATCTATTTTCAAATTATAATCAAATATAATTAATAGTTCCAAATATTTTTTCTTTCATTTGTCACAAACTAATATAGATGTGTAACTTATCTATAAAATGTCAAAAACATTTATCTATACAATAATGTAATGTATTGAAATATATACATTAATAAAAATAGATTATTATCTAATTAAAGGATTTCTTTTCATAAATTTTTCTTTATATATATATAGCATTCAGAAAATTAGTTTATACTAAATAACAAACAAACCTGCTAAAAAATTCTTCAAATAATTTAACCATGAATGTCTTTAAAAAAATGAGTTATCTCCCTTTGTACAGAAATATGGTTTAACATAGTACTCTAACATTAGATATGGTCCAGAGTTATGGTCCATAACTCTGGACTAAATTATCAGACCGGAACAAAATTCGAACTTGATCTGTAACTTGTCATGATAAAACAATATACCAAATATCAAATCAATATATTCAAGCATGAAGAAAAAAAGTGTGGAAAGCTGATTTGCCGGACTGACATAAGGACAGACAGACTGACAGACAGACAGACGGATGGGGTGCAAACCTAAAGTCCCCTTCGACTTCGTCGGTAGGGGACTAATAAACTGACAATTTTAGTCATGTTGACATATTTGTAGATCTTACCCTGCTGATCATTTTGCCTTTTTAAAGTTTCTATTCATCTATAATAATTTTCCAAATAATAAGCAAAAAATGCAAAATAAATGGTAACAAGAGTGCACACCCTGAAATGTCTCGCCTTCTTTACTAACCATTGATATTATGTTGATAGTCCTAAATGAAAGCTTTACTACAACTATTACATAAACTTAACATGATCCAAGAAAATGAAGTCAAGGTCATATTAACCAAATGAAAAATACATGTACACATTACAATCATTCAATACACTAAATATAGTTCACCTATTGCTTATAGTTTCTAAGAAACAGACTTAACCAAGAAAACTAAACATTGACCAATGAATCGTGAAAATGAGGTCAAGGTCAGATGAACCATGCCAGGCAGACATGAACAGCTTACAATCCTTCCATACAACAAATATAGCTGACCTATTGCTTATAGTTTAAGAAAAACAGACTGAAACACATAAACTTAACACTGAGCAATGAACCGTGAAAATGAGGTCAAGGTCAAATAAAACCTGCGAGACTGACATGTACATCATAGAATATTTCCATACACCAAATATAGTTGACTTATTGCATATAGTATAAGAAAAAAGACCAAAACTCAAAAACTTAACTATAACCACTGAACCATGAAAATGAGGTCAAGGTTAGATGACACCTGCCAGTTGGACATGTACACCTTACAATCCTTCCATACACCAAATATAGTAGACCTATTGCATAAAGTATAAGAAAAACGGACCAAAACACAAAAACTTAACTATAACCACTGAACCATGAAAATGAGGTCAAGGTCAGATGACACCTGCCAGTTGGACATGTACACCTTACAATCCTTCCATACACCAAATATACTAGACCTATTGCTTATAGTATCTGAGATATGGACTTGACCACCAAAACTTAACCTTGTTCACTGATCCATGAAATGAGGTCGAGGTCAAGTGAAAACTGTCTGACAGGCATGAGGATCTTGATAGGTACGCACATACCAAATATAGTAGTCCTCATTGAAATTGGTTAAAAGATTTGTATTTATTTTCAATTGAAGATTTCTTGCTGTTGTGCAATACTTAGTAAATCTGTTTACAAACTAAATATAATAATTTGCACACCCTGTTTGGTGTGTATCTCCTGCCATATCAGTATTTGTTGTTTCTTGATATAGATCAGAAATAATTTATGTTGGAACAGCTTAGCCAGTATTAGAAAAGTCTTGTTTTTGGCCCCTATTTGGCCTCTAGTTTCTCAATGATTTAAGACACAACCCACAAAATCAACCCCAACCTTCTGTGTGTGGTATGGAACCTTGTGGTACAATTTCATAGAGATCCATTGACTAATACTTAAGTATTTGTCCGTAAACCAGAAATTCCTAGTTTTTTGGCCCTAATTCCTAATTGGCGGTTTGGGCCATAACCCCCAAAACCAAACCCAACCTTCCTTTTCAGGTATGGAACCTTGTGGTACAATTTCATAGAGATGCATACACTTATACACAAGCTATTGTCCTGAAACAAGAAAAATGCTTGTTTTTGGCCCCTAATACCTAAACAGATAGGACAATAACCCCTGAAATCAATCCCAACCTTCCTTTTGTGGAATGGAATCTTGTGGTACAATTTCATAAAGATCCATACCTGTATTCTCAAGAGATTGACTGAAAACCAAATGTCTTTGGACGACAATGACAACATCTTAACATTACACGACAGCAAAACTCACAATAGTTTTGCAGTCATATAATAAAAACTTGTGTACTTCTATTTTCTTTGTCAGTATACGTATTTCATGAGTATACATTAACAAATAGAAATATAACAATAAAGATTAAAACAAAACAGCTGTTTTTCTTCAAAAGATACATATTGTATGTTTTATTTTATAGTTTATGTCTCCAAATATGGACTAATGAGACTTATATAATGACTCTATTGATCAATGTTCCTGTCCATATAATAAGCTTAAGGTCTGTATATGCTACAGAATAGAGAATTTTTTTCTAAATTAAAAATAAAGAGAAAAAAGGGGCAAAAAAATGAAGAAGAGAGAATAATGGAAGCTTAAATATACAGAATAGAGAAAATTTGTACATGTATAAAAAATAAACAGGAGGCTGTCAGAATGTTAGGAGTATGGAAGTAAACATTTTTTTACAAAATTAATAAATTTGTTGTTCAGAGTACAAGTACAGAAGTGAAAACTAATCATCATACTAAATACTTAAGGTGGTACATATTAAAAATAGTGAGACAAGATATAACACAAAATAAGTAAACATTGAATTACAGAAATGCATTGCAAATTGTGTCAACAGGTCAAATTAACACGAAAGTACGATTTGAGAGTACTCGCAGTAGCTGAAAGCTAGTTAAAAGCCAAAAACAATTAACAATAAATGGGGAATGTGTCCATGGGACACAGATGATGCCCCCGCTTGCATATAATGTTATAAAGGGACATAACTCAAGAACAGTAAAAGTGACGCTACCCAAATTTGTACTTCATCTGAATTTTGTGGTAATAAGCATTTTGTATAAGTTTCATAACATTTGGTTGAGGCAAACTTAAGAGAATGGAAACGAAAAATTCAGCATTTTTTTCATTTGTAGAGGGGCATAACTCTAGAACGGTAGAAGTGACGCCACCAAAATTCAAACTTGATCTGTGTTTTGTGGTAATAAGCATTTTGCATAAGTTTCATAACATTTGGTTAAGGCAAACTAAAGTTAGAGAACAGAAACGAAAAATTAAGCAATTTTTCCGTTTGTAAAGGGCATAATTCTAGAACAGTAAAAGTGACCCCACCAAAATTCAAACTTGATCTGTGTTTTGTAATAATAAGCATTGTGTATAAGATTCATAATATTTGGTTGAGGCAAACTAAAGTTAAAGAAAGGAAACGAAAAATTTAGCAATTTTTCCATTTGTAAAGGGGCATAACTCTAGAACGGTAAAAGTGACGCCACCAAAATTCTAAATTGATCTGTGTTTTGTGGTAATAAGCATTATGTATAAGTTTCATAACATTTGGTTGTGGCAAACTAAAGTTAGAGAACAGAAACCAATTTTGGGACGTACGGACCGATGGACCGTACAGACAGACAAGGGTAAAACTTCATGCCCCCTCCGCTACGATGGGGGCATAATAAAAAATTTGTAAGGGTTCCGCGGAACCCAGTGTCTCGCCTACTTTTGCTGTTGTCTATGTTTTCAGTGTGATAGGGGAATGCACATAATAGATTTACAGTTAATGAAATAAAACGTTGAAATGTATGAAAAAAGTTATGCTTGTAAAAAATGAATACAGTATGCAATCAAATCTATAGATTTATAAAAGAGTTGAAACATAAATTTATTGAATGAAACAACTGATAAAGAAGATAATTTTTACATTAAAATTTAAAAAACTTTAACCACAGAGTGAATATTTGTGGACGCGGCCACCGACGGAATGTAGGATCGCTATGTCTCGCTTTTGTCGCAGCTCAACAAAATTATTATTATTATTATTAAAAATTTTCCTCTAGATACTATCTTTTGATTGTAAGAAGCTCCTGTCCAAGTTTGGTAAAAATCCAGGATGGTTTATGAATCTAATAAATGCTTTAAAAACTTTAACTGCAGACTGTATGTAATGTTAACTGGAAGAAAAACTAAGTCCATTTATAAGTAATACATGTATACGGAAAAACAGGAAATAAATTTTTACAAAATTAACTTCTAGATACTAGCTTTTGATCATAAACAAGCTTCTGTCCAAGTTTGGTACAAATCCAGGATAGTTTTAGAAAGTTAGTGCTAATGTAAACAATTTTCAAAGATCTTATTACAATATTTATAGGATAACCTTTACTTATAAGTTTGTTTAAAGGGTCGATGAGTTTACACGGATCATATAGTGATTTACGTGTTTTTAGTACAATGTACATTACTACCGTAAAATTTAGGATGTGAAATACCGTTTTTAATCAGTTTTCTACAAGTACAACCAAATTTACTAATCAAATCTTTGTATCTATGAAAAAAATTTAGTAAATGTTTTCAGTAATTTATGGTAACGAATTGATCCCTGACTTAATAACTTACCAGTGATGCAATGATTACTTTCGTTAAAATCTATGACATCACTACACAAACGGACATAAAGAACTTGTTGGGATATCTAAACACCGTATGATGGAGCCAAAGGAACACCACTGTTTAAAAAAGGAAAATTAACAAAAGGGAATGAAAAATCGTCTCTTTTGTCGTAAATTTCCCTTTAGAAATTGACATGTCTAAATCTAGGAAAGGACAATTACTGCTGTTTATGTTAGATTTATTTAAAGTAAATTTCGGTAGTATATTTAGAGAACTCTGGATTATTTAACAAAAAAAATATCATCAAGATAACGGTAGGTTTGTTGAATGTGTCAACCAATTGTAACAATGATGTGTGTTTCGTCAAGTGACATATGGAGGTGCATTATTGCTTATTTACACTGTGTCATTTTAAACAAACCTTTCTTTTCTTTGCAGAATATTGAAATTAACATTATAGAGACTGCAACAATACCAAGTAAGCATAAATATACTACTCCTGGCTCAACTGGTGCCATTTTAATGTTATAAAGTGAACAGAATTTCTGAATTTCGTCACCGGAAATGAAAGGGTACGACGAAAAATAAACAAGTGCGGACAGAACACGGTAATCTTCTGTGTATTACAATAACTTTTTGAGAACTTGACTGGTTGCAAATACGTAAGCTGCACATTGTCTGGGAGTTTACTTGATAAGACAAGAAATCTTATACAATATTTTATAATTTTTGTTTTATTACATCTTTCAGTTTTCCATGCACCCCTTTCCCCAAGGGTCACAGTCACTTGTCTGAATTTTTTTTATCTATATCCAAGGATTTGTATAGAATACTATACAAATCCTTGCTATATCTAATATACATAAAAAAATACCTATATATAACTTATATAACAGTAATGTTATATAAGTTATATATAGGTATTTTTTATGTATATTTTTTGTGTGCTTTAATTTTTATTTTTTTTAGTAAATATTCCTCATATAATATTTTAACTTATTTAATGTGTTCTTGCTCTAATCCATAAGATTTTACATTAACAGTAGTTTATATATCCGACCCTCTTGAGTCTATTCATATTTTTCAGGTGAAAAAAATATATACTAAATATTCTTTAATTATTTAAACATATTAATATTTTCTCTTATTTAATTTGTTCTTGCTCTAATCCATACGATAGTACAATAACAGTAGTTTATATATTATGCCCAGTAGAAAATAAGAATCGAGGGCATGGGTGACACAGGGTGCTCATTTCCTAAATTCCACTTTTTTTTGTAATTTTTTCCACACTTCCTATTTTCTTTTCATTCATTTTTCCAGATCTAATTTTTTTACCCTCTATATCCAAAATCCAAACTTTTTTATAGAAAAAGAGATTGGGAATATTTATGCTATTTAGAATTTTCAATATGGAATTTTTATTTTTGTACTCTCTATTGCCTGGAAACTAGAAAAAGAATATAAAGTGAGCAATAAATGTATACATCATCATCCTTTCATCACTGTTGGATAGTTGTCTCATTGGCAATCTTACCAAATCTCATTTTTATAACTACAGAGTGAGATGAAGATTGATGGATGTAAATGAAGAGTACATGCTCTGTCCCAAAAGACGACAGCAGACACCACCATTTCCATCTACAGATCTATTTGTATAGACTGTAAAAAATTCTGGTTTTCTTGAGAATTGAATTTTAGCAAATTGCTATTGCTGATTAAAAAGTGGATAAGTATAAGCTCTTATAAGTCTACATATGAATATTTGCTTTTCAGCAGCATCCTGTAAGGATATTCCCACGTTTTTTTTCTGAATAATTTTCCAAAGAACTTTTTCAGAAATAAAATAGTCAAAAAAGAATGAAATATATACCCGTACTGGTTGAATGCCCTAACTACAGTCTTCATCAGCCAGGTTAGACCTAGTTTGAGGAACTCCTGCCTGAATATTTAAAGAATGAGGTTCCAAAAGAGTTCCTGTATTATTTGGGCCACTCCAGTAGGAATGGCATTCAATGTGTCAGTACTGTCATAATTATGAAACAAGATCATATATGGATGAGTGTGGGCAAGTTTAGTTACACCTGGAGGAGATGTTTGAAAAGGTTAAAAAGACAACATGGTATACACGGTGATTAGAATGTAAAGAATTCAAACACAAGATGGCAACATTAATGCTTATTCAGGATGATTAAATGTAATGAGAGTATACCCTACCGTGTAATAGACAGACACATTGAGTCAGATTTTCAATTGTTCACAAGGTTACAGTTCACCTTATTCTGCCATTCAGCCGACTAGTCTTTGCCTTTTATCTCTAAATGCTGCAGAATGGCCCTCCCCCACCTTTTTTTATTCTGATCACACTTTCCTATGTAACAAAAATCTTTTAATAAATTTGTTATTTTATTTTTTCTTGTTAATACAGAACACCAGTCTTTCAATCCAATATGCTGGAAAGCATTTTGCCATCTCACATACTTATTACTCACCACAAACTCTCTCTTGCAATAAGCTGATTTTTTTTTTCCTTCATCTTATGATTAGAAAACAAGCTACAACCTACAACAAGAGCAATGTTATTGGAGCCATCATAGACGTCCCTGTTGCATGTAAATTAGTTAATTGTGATCAAGTTCCATAACTCCAGTAAACATTGTTGAATTAAAATGACAGTACAATGTGGTCAACTATCCATCATGGCAAACAATCCTACGAAGAATGACAACTTTATGTCAAATAGTGTCAGTAGAGTTGTGTTTATAAGGTATTATTGTGGTTTGTGAGGGACAGACAAGCTGAGACCATCTTCAAATTGATTGGCAGGCCCTTATTAAGTCACTTGGATAAGCACAATAAAAGGATTGGTAGAACAAAGTTCTGACTAATCCTTGAAGAAATAGGCCAATACCAGGTCTGGATCTGCATGCTATTGATTGAGGTAACATGTGTAGTGAAGCATAACTGCATGGTGAAGAACTTTGTTCCACTGGACTCGACTAAAGTTCTTTTAATGATTTATTGTTAAGGGATGAAAATATTTGCTTATAACAAGATACAACTCAACATCATCAAGCTCCAGACCAAATATAAATATAACCTTTCATTAAATCCAAGAAAAACTTTGACAAAAATTTTCCTTATACAACAGATGACTTTCAAATTAGTGCATATATTCCCTATATTTTCTATGTAACAATGGTTATGTAAATATGTCACAATTAAAGAACCTTTGTAAGCACGCTCACATAACCCATGCCCCCACATTGTCACTGGACAAACAAAATCTCACCAGATTTCCAAGTTCAAAGACTCTTTAACTCTACAAAAGTCAACTGATAAAATTTTTTTTGTGGATATGCACATTTACATAGTATGTCCTTATTATCTACAAAGTTTCATGAAATTCTGTTGTGTGGTTTCAGAGGTGTTGCGATGACAAACTGTTGCAGTAGTATATTGAGGCCAATGAGTTCAAAGGGGCATAACTCCTAGAAAAATAAAATGCTTCGCTGGGCGCAGCTTGATACGACCGCAGAGGTCGAACCCTGAACAGTTGGGGCAAGTATGGACACAACATTCAAGCTTGATACAGCTCTGAATTTGGATTGTGATTAAATATTTGACACAGCATAGGTTTCTGACACAGAAAGAATGTGGTCTCAGAACTTCAATTTTTTTAATTTACCTATTATGGTCCAATGTCCAAAATCAAAATACATGGTTAGATTCAGCATATCAAAGAACCCCATATATTCAATTTTTGTTGAAATCAAACAAAGTTTAATTTTGGACCCCAACTTGGACAAACTTGAAAACTGGTCCCATAATCAAAAATCTAAACACATGTTTAGATTCAGCATATCAAAGTACCCCAAGAATTCAATTTTTGTTAAAATCAAACTAAGTTTAATTTTGGACCCTTTGGACCTTAATGTAGACCAATTTAAAAAACGGGACCCAAAATTAAAAATCTAAATACACGGTTAGATTTGGCATATCAAAGAACCCCAATAATTAAATTTTTGATGAAATCAAACAAAGTTTAATTTTGGACCCTTTTGACCTCAATATGAACCAATTTGATAGCGGGCCCACAAATAAAAAATCTAAATACATGGTAAGATTCAGCATATCAAAGAACCCCATATATTCAATTTTTGTTGAAATCAAACAAAGTTTAATTTTGGACCCCAATTTGGACCAACTTGAAAACTGGGCCAAAAATCTAAAATCTAAATACATGTTTAGATTCAGCATATCAAAGAACCCCATATATTCAATTTTTGTTGAAATCAAACAAAGTTTAATTTTGGACCCCAACTTGGACCAACTTGAAAACTGGGCCCATAATCAAAAATCTAAACACATGTTTAGATTCAGCATATCAAAGAACCCCAAAAATTCAATTTTTGTTAAAATCAAACTAAGTTTAATTTTGGACCCTTTGGACCTTAATGTAGACCAATTTAAAAACGGGACCCAAAATTAAAAATCTAAATACACGGTTAGATTTGGCATATCAAAGAACCCCAATAATTCAATTTTTGATGAAATCAAACAAAGTTTAATTTTGGACCCTTTTGACCTCAATATGAACCAATTTGATAGCGGGTCCACAAATAAAAAATCTAAATACATGGTTAGATTCAGCATATCAAAGAACCCCAAGAATTCAATTTTTGATGAAATCAAACAAAGTTTAATTTTGGACCCTTTTGACCTCAATGTGGACAAAGTTGATAACGGGGCCCAAAAATCAAAAATCTAAATACATGGTTAGATTCAGCATATCAAAGAACCCCATATATTCAATTTTTGTTGAAATCAAACAAAGTTTAATTTTGGACCCCGATTTGGACCAACTTGAAAACTGGGCCCATAATCAAAAATCTAAATACATGTTTAGATTCAGCATATCAAAGTACCCTAAAAATTCAATTTTTGTTAAAATCAAACTAAGTTTAATTTTGGACCCTTTTGACCTTAATGTAGACCAATTTGAAAACGGAACCAAAAATTTTAGAATCTAAATACACGGTTAGATTCGGCATATCAAAGAACCCCAATAATTCAATTTTTGATGAAATCAAACAAAGTTAAATTTTGGACCCTTTGGACCTCAATGTGGACCAATTTAAAAACAGGGCCCAAAATCCAAAAACTTAATACACGGTTAGATTCAGCATATTAAAGAACCCCAAGAATTCAAGAATAAAACCCCATTGAAATTGATCAAGAAATAAGCAATTTATACGAAGTATCTTCTGTTGCACAATACTGTGCAATTGAATATTTCTTGCTATTGTGCAATACTGTACAATTGACAATTTCTTGCTATTGCGCAATATTGTGCTATTGGATATTTCTTGCTATTGCGCAATACTGTGCAATTGAAGATTTCTTGCTATTGCGCAATACTGTGCAATTGAAGATTTCTTGCAATTGTGCAATACTGTGCAATTGAAAATTTCTTGCTATTGCACAATACTTATTATATAATAATTTACACATCCTGTTTGGTGTGTATCTCCTACCATATCATTATTATTTGCTTTTAAATATTAATCAGAAATAACCAACTTAAAATGGAAAATTTTAAAAGAAAAAAAAAAGGAAAAAAAGAAAAAAAAATTAAAAAAAAAATCCCCCCCCCAAATTTTTTGAACCCCCTTATGATTCATCACCCCCAAACTCAATCCCAGCCTTCCCTTTGTGGTATGGTACCTTGCAGTACAATTTCAGAGAGATCCATACACTTGAACACAAGTTATTGTCTGGAAACTAGAAAAATGCTTATTTTTGGCCCCTTTTTGGCCCCCAATTCCTAAACGTTTCGGGCAATTACCCCCAAACTCAATTCCAGCTTTCCCTTTGTGATATGGAACCTTGTAGTACAATTTCAGAAATATCCAAACACTTACACACAAGTTATTGTCATGAAACTAGAAAAATGCTTGTTTTTTGCCCCTTTTTTGGCCCCTAATTCCTAAAATTTTGAGGCAATTACCCCCAAAATCAATTACAGCCTTCCCTTTGTGATATGGAACCTTGTGGTACAATGTCAGAGAGATCCATACACTTACACACAAGTTATTGTCTGGAAGTTACAAAAATGCTTATTTTTGGCCCCTTTTTGGCCCCTAATACCTTAACTGTTGGTACCATAACCCCCAAAATCAATCCCCACCTTCCTTTCGTGGTATTGAACCTTATGGTAAAATTTCATGGAGATCCATTCACTTAAACTAAAGTTAGAGTGCGAAAACCAATGTGTCTTCGGATGACGCCGGACGACGCCAGACGACGACGACGACGACGACGCCAACGTCATACCAATATACGACCAAAAAATTTTCAATTTTTGCGGTCGTATAAAAATTGAATCATAATTTCCTGTCAATATGCACATCTACATAGTATTCCTTATTATCTACAAAGTTTCATGAAATTCTGTTGTGTGGTTTCAGAGGTGTTGCGATGACAAACTGTTGCAGTAGTATATTGAGGCCAATGAGTTCAAAGGGGCATAACTCCTAGAAAAAAAATTGAATCATAATTTCCTGTTAATATGCACATCTACATAGTATGTCCTTATTATCTACCGGTACACAGTTTCATGAAATTCTGTTGTGTTGTTTCAGAGGAGTTGTGATGACAAGAACAGGACTGACGGACGGACAAACGGGTCAAAAACATTATACCCTCCGCAACTTCATTGTGTGGGATATAATAAGAACAGATTGTTTAAAAATATGTCACAAAAAGAACAGACTGTTTAATGATGTCATTAACAACGATTGACCTTGAGTCAACTGGTGTAACTCATTCATTAAAAAATAAATTGAGATTGGTCTATGAGTGTTCAATTTTCGTATATTCATCTCTCATTAAAATGTTTTTGTCCTGAATATGCATATTATATTTGCAACAAGATCAAACAAACATGCATTTCTCTATGCCTTCTTAAACAAATCTTGAACCAATTTCATTCATGTACAAGATGTAGGTCAGTGATACCAGATTTTTGTATTATTTTTGTTACCATCCAGGATATACTGACAAACTATTATTCTATAAAGCAATGCAAATACTTTGATCTGGACCTTAAACCAAATCTTAACAAGGATGGATGGATGAACATAAATGAAGAATGTGTCCCCATGGACACAGATGATGCCCCCGCTTGCATACAATATTATAAAGGGACATAACTCAAGAACAATAAAAGTGACACTACCCAAATTTGTACTTGATCTGAGTTTTGTGGTAATAAGTATTGTGTAAAGGTTTCATAATGTTTGGTTGGGGCAAACTTAAGTTACAGAACGGAAGCTAAAAATTTTGCAATTTTTCGATTTATAAAGGGGCCTAACTCGATAATGATTAAAGTGACGCCACCAAAATTCAACTTGATCTGTGTTTTGTGGTAAAAAGCATTGTGTATAAGTTTCATAACATTTGGTTTAGGCAACTTAAGTAAGAGAACGGAAATTAAAAATTTTGCATTTTTTTCCATTTATAAAGGGGCATAACTCGAGAATGGTTAAAATGACCCCACGAAAATGATTATGAGGTAATAAGCATTGTGCATAAGTTTCATAACATTTGGATGAGGCAAACTTAAGTTAGAGAAAGGAAACTAAAAATTTTGTAATTTTTCCATTTATAAAGGGCATAACTCTAGAACAGTTAGAGTGACGCCACCAAAATTCAAACTTGATCTGTATTTTGTGGTAATAAGCATTGTGTACAAGTTTCATAACATTTGGTTGAGGCAAACTCAAGTTAGAGAACGAAAACCAATTTTGGGACGTACAGACGTATGGATGTATAGATGGACAAGGGTAAAACTTAATGCCCCCTCCGCTACGGCGGGGGCATAAAAAGATGATGATCCAAACAGACTTTACATACTGTGGATTCATTTATTTTCGTGGATATTTGAATTCCATTAATCATAGTTTTGCAAAAGTCTGCTTACAAGCATATAGAACATTTGTACTTTGTTGAACATTTAAATTCCTGATTACGCTTACCCAGGAAATTCACGAAAATTGGTATCTAAAGAATATTAAAGAGTTCACAGTAGGCATTAACTGAAGTGAGGGAACAGATCAGAAGACAACAAATTAAACACATGTTCTGCAAAAGTTTTAATTGGTAAAATTCTGTGGAAGATCAATAATGTACAAATATCTACAGTGAATTACAACATCAAAACAAAAGCAATATTAACTTGGTCAGTTTGGATATATCAATAAACTAAATGACAGACAATTCAAAACATTTTTTATATTTGCTGGTTGGTGGTTTCTAATTTTGAAAACTAACCTCATATTATTATAAGTAAAAAAAATAAAGTATGACAGCTATCAATATTTGAATACTTAAAAAAATAATACTTGAAAAACAGTTCATAATTGAGATATGAGAAAGGTCAGAAACATTCAGTTTAATACACTGTAATATTGTGTAATAAAAAAAAATTAAATTAAAATGCATATCAAATGAGATTTTGTCTAATTCACAATTAAAAAAGGTATTGTCTTAGAAATTTAGACATTTTTCTTTCATCTGAGATACTTATGTGGATCTGAACTGTGAAGTTATTTGTAATACTGCAAATTAAACTCAATTCTCTACTGTTAACCAAAAGGCTTTTATTTTTATAGTCATATTATTTAATTTTTTATAGTCATATTATTTAATTTAGTCACACTAACATTTTTTGTAGTCATAAAAAAAACTTGAAAAGCAGATACCCAACCACTGATAGAAAAATGTTATATAAAATAGAACTGAAGCATTCAGCAGGCTGATACTGATAGTGTAAAAACCTTAAATCATAAATGAAAGCTCTGGAGACTATGCATGTAGATAGTGTATTAATGTGACAACATTCTAAATGTTGTCATCAAACTGACCAAGCACTATATATATAATGTACATGTAATTTTCCACAGAAAAATATCCCAATTTTGGCTTGATGATGAAAGTTGATTTACTGAAATGAAATGATCATCTAGTGCATAAAAAGAAAAAAAAGATATTAGACAAACAAAACATTGTGACATTTCTATATTTAAGAGAATATTTTTTTTTCTTTCAAAATACAGTTCAAGTCTTGACCAGTGTTCTTATGCATATTATCAGAACACTTTAGAACCTTTATAACATTTAACCATTAACAAAGAAAAAGAGTTAAAAATAATCAGATGTTGCAAAAATGTTCTGAGCACTAAATTGGATTTAATATTTTTGTAAGTTCCAATATGAGTTTCAAAAATGTTCACATTTTTTTTATAGATTGTGAGGGACTTTCTGATTAAAAATCCATCTCAAATACGTTTACAGGAATTGCCAACTTATTCTTCCAAGACATCTGTGTAAATCAAGAAATTTATAGCACTATTCAATACTAATTTATAAGTGATAAAAAATTTAAAACAACCTTTAACTTGAAGTTTTTTTTTATATTTTTCATACAAGTTAAATAAAAAAACAGCTTTGCTCTTTTCAAAATAGTAAAAACTGACCATTACTCTTAAACATGACTGACCGACCAAAATTTTCCAAGAATATAAAATATACATCTATAACACTGATTGAAAAATATACAAAAAACAAACTTTAAATAGACCAAAAATAGTTCCTATCTAAACAGTCTTAATTCATTTAATAGCATATTCTGTGGCATATATCAAGTATAAAGATCTTGAAACAAATGATACCTTTTTTTTTAAATATTGCATGTACTAAGAAACTTTTAAAAAGGATTCATGTGGAATAGGCAATATTTTCCCTCTCAGTCGTCTTTCTGGTTACATTGCAAAGTTTGCTACAATTCTGTTTAAAACAAACTGAGTCAAGGGAATACACTGATCTTAGTTACTGTAATGGTATAATTTGGTAAAACATAAAGAAAACTGACTTTCCAAGAATAAAGAAATTTTAGAGATTTCTAAAAATTCCAATATGCTTATAAAATTCCATCAAAGTACATGTTAATTAATCATATGAACAACAAGTATAATCAATTGGTCACATCACAAGAAGCATTAAGTTAAATAGGTTTTTCTGTGTACGGCTGAAAAAACTTTTTCCTCTTTAAAGCTTATCAACTTTTAATTGCATATTCCAACCCTTCCTAAAAACAGTTAATCAAAGAAATTTAAAAAAGAACCTTAGCAGACAACATATGTATATAGCAGAGACAAATATACTATCCTGAATTACTGCATAGTACAGGAATACATGTTTGTATTACATAAACAACTTGACAACTAAGTAGACTTGTGTATTGTGATTTGTTAACCTATTCTTGTTGATGGAAAAAAGGTAACTTCTAATTCTATAAAAAAAAAATTTAAAAAAGAGCAGTTCAATACAGAGGTATCTAGTATTTCTGCAAGAAAACAACTATAAAAAATCCTAATAAAGAAATTTTATTTTTGTATGCTTCCATCCTTTTTGGGGGCAAGAAAACTCTGGTTATCAACAGAAAGTTTTAATTGAAATTTTGGCATTTTACTCTGAGACATTTATACACTGTGTTATCTTAGTTTGCTCAAACGTATGACCAAATTTTTCAAAAGTACTTCTGTATGAACAATAAATAGGCCATTATAATAAAATAAAAGAATGGAAAAATCTCAGAAATAGTTTCACCCCTTACCCTATATTCATCTACAATACAGATCCCTTATATCTGACAACTGTTCCGTGTTGATAATATGGTCCCTTAATTCAAGAACAAACATTTAAAAGTTTCTGTTCCCAACACAAAATCTTACATAAAACTGTATTCATGTAATAGCTCTAGCCTATAATAAGCACTATTGACTTTACAGGTCAAGTATCCTCAATCTAGCAACAACCTGAAAATTGTCTTTGCCTCTTATTTATACAGGAAAGCCAAAATCATTTTACATATTGATGCAGTTCAAATTTTTTTTTTTTTTTTTTTTGAAAATCTTCCCCCAATCTATGAAAAACTCATTTTTAAAATATGGTTGCTTTTAGGATGAGGAAACCTTTCCTGTATATTACATATAGACATTAAATATCTAGATCTGCATACTTCTTGATACATTTGATTATCTCTACAAAAATAAATCATGCTGCATGTTCTTTTTGTTCTCACAACATATCACAAAAATACTCATTGAATATATCATTCGATCAAAAAATCAATTAAATTCATGGTCTCGAACAGTTTTATGATACTGAAGAAAAGATGTTGATAAAGCTTATTTTGAATGATGATGTTATGCAATGAATCAATCTGATTACATACATGATGAAATGATCACATGAATATACACAATGAGCACTGCCCGATTCTAACAATGCATCAACATTCATACCTCATTTATAACACATATACATGATTAACAGTTGTGGACAGAAAACATTTTTATGTCGTGGATTTTGTACTCCCCACGAGTATGCATCATGATTATTATCAATCATAATGCTGATATTAAGTACAGAGATTCAGCAAGCCAGTAACAATGTTGGAATGCCACAGTTTTTTTTCCTCACTCACTGTCAAAAGTCTTAATGAACATCGGTACTCTCTTTGCCAAGATGAAGCGCTGCTGATTCTGATAATGTACTATGTGGCTGTTGTGAATGAGGAGCGCTGTGAGGAACTGACTGATGGGCATCCAAAGCTGTGGCTACTCCCATGCCAGAAGCTGCAGCAGCCGCGGCAGCTGCTGCAGGGTTGGGGAATGGGTAACCGGCCCCATTCATTCCTTCCGGATAGCCAACAAAACCATAAGGTGGTCTCACAGAATCTGCAAGTTAAAAAATAAGTATCTTAACTGTTGATTTAATTATGTACGACTGAGCTTCATGTTTTAAAGAAGAAAAAAAATCACCATTTTGTGGATATATGATTTCTTTTGTCAAAACAACAAAGCCTAAGTATTTCATTGAGGAAACATCTCTTCCTTTGGAAAGTTGACTCCACTGGAATTCTTTTTATGGTTCAAATTATATGTCTATAGTAACTGAATGTGAATAAATTGTTAACTCAATTTGTGATGTATTGGAATTGACTGTGAATATATGGTTTAACTCAATATGTAATCATGTGTAAATAGCTTGATTTTTTAAATAAGATGAAAGTAATATATATATATATGTTTATGTGTGTGCCCGTGCCTTTGTTGTATTTTTCCTATCTAACATACTTTGAGTATTATGAGTATTAAAGTAGCTGTAAAAAACATAATTAATCAAATAAAGAAGTCATGTTTTTCATTTGCAAGAAATTGAAAATTTGCATCTAAATTATAAATGATGTAAATAATCATAATGGAAACAATATTTTCTCTTAATTTCTTTTTTGTAGTATAATTTAAAGTAAAATTGAGTCATTACTCATCAATTATGAGCTAACATGTACATTTTCTGAAAGCCTTTTTTCTGAATATGAATTTTTTTTATTGATAATGAGATCATACATTTTTTTTTCATTTTTGGTGAATTTACAAAGCAAAATAAACCTTTCCTTTGACCCAATATAAAGAATATTTGACAAGTGTAATGCTACAGGTAATGAATAACTGCCTTTAAAATACCACATACTTGAGGTAAAGTATTCTTTGTTAACACAGTTGCGTAGACTGTCTGGAATGCGACCTACTACTGCCCTTCTTATCTCCCCTGCTGCCATTTCCCGTAACTCGGTGACACTTTGTTCACTGTAGAATGCTGAATGAGGTGTACATATGAGATTTGGACAATCCTTGAGTGGACCTATTTAAAGCAAATTTGACAATACAATAAAAGTTTCAGTCAAGTTAAGCAGAACATTTTTTCCGTCCTGTTTTACTTTGTGTGGTGTATTGCTTGGTTGAATCAAAAAGTTTCTTTCGTAAGTAAGTCTGGAATAGATTATTTCATGTAAAACACTGCTATCTGTCAAGTTACTGTTAATTAAGAGATTTTTGTGATGTTTTAATCATTGATGGTTGCAACAGGACAGGATTGGCCAAAATGAAAACCAGCATTTAAAATTTTGATGGCAATATTGGTCTTCAGCATTTTCTGAAATCGCAATATTTAATATTTGCATGTGTGCATTGTTCAACTATCACAATTATAAATCCACACAAAATTTCTGAATTTACAGTTATAGCAAAATAATTGAAATTTTCTTGTTGTAAGATGTTTCCTTTATCATGTTTATAGGAAATATTCTGAGGGCTGTTCCATAAAAACATACACGGGACCCAAGGAAGCCACTTTGACATCTCTACTGTGGCTGGGTGTCAAGTACAGTGTAAATGTAATTGAAATTCTAAATTTGCCGCTATAGGTGGTTACTCCATTATGAAAGTGCCTTCCCTGGGTACCATGTATGTTTTATGGAACAGCCCTAATACATGTACTTGTACTCTAAATATTTGAGTGTGTACAAGAACAATGATTAGGTTAAACTGTTTGTTAGGTGGGTCACGAAATCAATATGACCCAATTTAGATGTTTTAATTCTCATTGTCAGACAAACAAATCACAGAACAGGTAACATAAGAATTTTTTTGAACCATTTTCACTTATTTTATACCATACAGAGTTCATGGTACAGTTAACAAATATTCAAATTTTGATTCTGATAACTGTAGTCTTCCAATTTAACTTGACTCAACAACTTAGGCTAGTTAAAATTCTATTGAGGCTGTATTTTTACTTTAGACTGACATTTTCGTTTTAAGAAATTCTTTAAAAGATGAGTCAAGTCTGAAGGCTGTATTGTTAAGATTGTGTTTGTTAATTAGTGTTGACTATAGTTTATGCAAAAAAGATTTTGTGATCAATAATGATTCAGAGATGATATCCCATATACTATCCTTGAATAGAGGACAGACATTTTAGACTGAAACAACAACCACCACACATGCATTCACTTTCAACCAAAACACTGTGTGTGTGTACAGTAAGTAAGAAAATAATCTAAGGTGAGAAAAATGGTTGGTTTAGTGCTTAAATTTCCAGAACTTGTATTTAAACACAAAAAATGGATATCAGTCTGAGCCAAACGCCAAAATTGCACGTTGGACCACAAAATTAAATTTGTCTCAGTCCAATTGTCTGGTTTTGTATCTGTTCAGTTAAGAGACATGTGTGATGACACAGCTTAGAGTTGTACTAAATTCTTCAATTATGTATTTATCTGGGAATCTGCTGCTTAAATACATTAAAAATTATGTAAAAATCACCAAAAAATTATGCAATATTACATAAAAAGTAATTTGTTATCAATAAACTAAAGCCAACTAAATATAATTGCTATACACCTATGAACATTCACCGTCTTACATTCTGTTGATACCTATATTTTGGCATTGCACAATATTATGTTTTTATTTGACTGTTAACGACATCTTTACATTAAATCTATTGGGTGTTGGATATTGATTGATATACAGATATTAAGTCTAAGATACATGATTTTTTTTTTAGTTGTTATTGGATTTGAATTAGTTTATAGTAACTTTTATCAGAACTGTACTTAAGTGTCTTTAGTGCTTTTTGTTAGTATTTTTGGTGCTTTGTTTGTATCATTTTGATAAGTTAAGCCTTTTTCAACTGATTTGTATAGTTTGGTCTTATGTTGTGCTGTTACACCACTATCTCAGATTAGGAATGTGGTAAACTACCCGCAAACATGTTTAAACTTGTCATATTCTGTAAGTGCCTGTCCTAAGTCAACCTGTAATTCAGTGGTTGTAATTTGTTGCTGTATATCATATTTGTTTTTGTTTATCGTTTTGTACATAAATCAGGCTGTAGTTTTCTCGTTTGAATTGTTTTACATTTGTCATTTCAGGGCCTATTATATCCGTCTATACGGTATGGGTTTTGTTCATTGTTGATGGCCGAACTGTGACCTACAGTTACTAACATCTACATCATTTGGTCTCTAGTGGAGATTCGTCTCATTGGCACTCACACCAGATCTTCCTATTTTTATATTTACAATCATTATTGCTTTTTAATTAACCTTCAATAAAACAGGCATTCTGTGAGTATTGCATGGCAATACATAGTCCCCTACCGATTAAAAATTCATTGTACTGGAACAAAATGCTAACTTGTTCTATAACTTGTCATGGTGTAAACTATATATCAAATATCAAGTCAATATCTTCAAGCATGACGAAAAAAAAGTTGAAAATTGATTATTTGAGTGAATTTTCTAAGTCCAAGGACCAGAACTCTGCACAAAATCATTAGACCAGACCAAAATTCGAACATGATCTGTAATTTGTCATGATAAAACTATAAACCAATCATCAAATTAATATCTTCAAGCATGACAAAACAAAATGCAGAAAACTGATTATTTGAGTGAATTTTCTAAGTTCAAGGACCATAACTCTGCACAAAATCATCAGACCAGAACAAAATTCGAACTTGATCTGTAACTTGTCATGATAAAGCAATACACCAAATATCAAATCAATATCTTCAAGCACGAAGAAAAAAAGTGTGGAAACAAACAGCAGACAGGCAGACAGACAGACTGACGGAGTGCAAACCTAAAGTCCCCTTCGACGAAGTCGGTAGGGGACTAATAAAGACTTCATAGAAGTAATTCATTCAAATTCATTAAGGTCAAGGTACAGTAAATGGGCTATGTCACAGATTTTGGTAAATTTTGCATAAACATGAAAACTTTGGTTTGTTGAACTATAACTGAAAATCCAAAAAATGATTCATTTAGCTCTTATTTTCTGAAATATTGCTCAATTAAATCTTTCAAAATCATTTCATGATAATTGTATGTGCCTTTTATACAAATGTGCACCCATTTTTAAAAATGATAAATGCATCATTTTTTCGATTTTTAGTTAAAGCTCAACAAGCCAAAGTTGTATCCAATTTTAACTCAAATCAATACTTAAAATACTTATGTATATTTTTGCAAAATAATATAGTTAGTCATTTTATATATTTCATGTTCATAACTTTCATCAGCACAAAAATGTCTGGATATTGATCACATTTACTGTGGATTCACAAGTTTTCGTTGAATACAAATTTTCATGGATTTCTTGGGTATATGTGCACAACAAATTTAAATGTTCAACGAAAAACAAATTTTCTATAGGCATGTATGTAGATTGGCAAAACTTTGAAATCAAGTATCCACAATAATTTTTTTTTTTTCTCAATCCACGAAAATTAGTATTCAATAAAATAAATGAATCCACAGTAGATTTATCTTTAATTCAATTTCTTCTTCCCTATCAACTTTTCATGCATTTGCAAACAGTGCTTGGGTAATATCCCATTTTACTCAATTTAACAGACCTGCCAACTTTCTCAAATTAATGAGAGAATGCTCACGTAAGAGGGATTGCCCTGACTCTTGAAATCCTCAATTTTATAAACTGAATACAAAATAACAGTCATTCAAAAGTTAAAATGGCTTTTCAGTACATATATATACAGAAATGCTCCAGAAATAAATGTTTGGAGGAAAAGTACTTTTAATTCCCTCCCACCATGAATAAATTTTATTCTAATATGACACTTTAGCCTTGTAAACAAACCCATGTTCTTATTCCAATAAAACATAGGGTGCATGTGCCTGACATCACAATTTGAAAGATGCTGGATCTAAAAAGTCTAAATGTTTTCAACCATTTTAAATCATGAAATGGTTGGTTCACTAGAAGGTTATTGAATAATCTAATCAAAATGGCTGCCTTTCCAATATGTAGAATATTTTTGCTTTGAAGTACAAAAGTTCATAATTTTCCAATTTGAATCTAAATAATTTTATCTTGCCATGCTCTATGTACATTTTAACATTGGTAGGCATTATATTTGTCAACATTTTACACCTCACTAACACTCAGTAGAAAGATATCTAAAAATATAATCCCTCCCATTGTTAAAATGAGCCACCACTCGATGGAGATCTTGACAAGTTGGCAAGTATGCTAAATTCCATTTTAATGGATTAAATAAGTATTTCAATCAGTATTTTTTCTGAAAGTAAGATACATGCAACAGTAGTAGCATGAAGCAATATAGTTAAAACCAGATGTATATACATAATAATAACATTTCAAAAGTAAAACAACTCAACAACAACTGCATGAATTAAATGATCAATTTCAACAAATTCCACCCTCTTTTTCTTTCTCGCATTAAAATTTTCACAAATTAATAGATATTTTTTTTCCCAAAAGAACTACATAAAGGGAACTTTTCCAAAACTTTTGATTAAAATTAGATGTATGGAAATGCTTCAAGAAGCTTCATGCAATTGCCTTTGTCAGTCAAAACTTTTAAACTACCTATCCCCAAAATCACAGCAGCCGTCCAAATTGCTAATTAGTACATGTTCATTTATTCAAACTTTTATCAGGCAATGCTGAATAGTCAACAATCAAAACAGTTGACAAAATGTAGGATTGTGATTTTTTTTCAAGTCTCAGAATAAGGAATTATTTTATGATGTTAAGTCTTATAGATCAGTTTAATGCATTCATTTATTAAGAAGAAATGTGTATTTTATATAAAGCAGGAAAGATCAGCATCAAAGAAGAATGAATTTTTTTAATGATGTTAACATGAGTTATTGATAGATTATTATTATCCTTTCACTCTTTTTTTATCCAAGAAAGATGAGCAGTACCTAAACAAGTTTTTCAGAATGAGATCAAAGTATATCCTGTAGAATCATTTAATTTTGTTGAATTACTGTTTTTCCTTCAAAAGGGATTGTGATGCCACAAGAATTTAAAGAGATCAATTCACTCGATACTGAAGAAAATCCTTATGAAATTTTCTGCTTTTACCATATTGAAATTTTATTATTTTCTATTCAAATGCAAAAATGGTTCCAAATTCTGAGATTTTTTTTAATGTTTTCATTCAAAAGACTTTCTACTGTGAATATCTCTAATTATGAACAGTTTCAATAATTAACAATTCTAATTGCTGTTGTATGGCTTGTGATATCTTTAGAATACATTACCACCCATGACTGATTTTGAAATGTTATACATACTATTTGATAAACTGAATGGCTCACTTTCATGGACGTCTAAAGCAGCTGCCCGAATCCTTGAATCTTTCAATGCTGCAGCTAAAGCATGTTCATCAACAAGACCACCTCGTGCTGTGTTTATCAGAAATGCACCTTAAATGCACAAGATATTCAATATGTCAATAATAATTACATACAGAAACTTGTACAAAGTAATCATATTGATTGGTTGTTGTTTGCTTCATGTCCTGTGGTAAATAATTCATATATATTCATACATATCCAGGATGATAATGTTAATAACAAAAATATATAAACCGACTATTCGGTATGGGTTTTTCTCATTGTTGAAGGCCCTACAGTTGCCTACAATTGCTTACATCCACTTCATTTGAATCATTGGATAATTGTCTTATTTCCTTATTTTTATACAAGAGTGCACACGCTGAAATGTCTCTTCTGCTTTAATGACCATTGATTTAATGCTGAAAGTCCTAAATATAAAGTTTACCTACAAGTATCACATAAACTTGAGATGGTCAAAGAAAATGAGGCCAAGGTCAGATAAACCAAGCCAGAAATACATGTACACCTAACAATCATTCCATGCACCAAATATAGTTGACCTATTGCGTATAGTTTACAAGAAACAGACCAAACCAATGAACCATGAAAATGAGGTCAAGGTCAGATGAACCCTGCTAGACAGACATGTACATCTTAATATCATTCCATGCTTTAAATATAGTTGACCTATTGCATATAGTATCTAAGAAACAAACTTAACCAGAAAAACTTAACATTGACCAATGAACTATGAAAATGAGGTCAAGGTCAGATGATAACTGCTAGACAGACATATACACCTTACAATCATTCCATACACCAAATACAGTTGACATATTGCATACATTATTAGAAAACTGACCAAAACACAAAAACTTAACTCTGACCACTGAACCATGAAAATGAGGTCAAGGTCAGATGACACCTGCCAGTTGGACATGTACACCTTACTATCATTCCATACACCAAATATAGTAGACCTATTGCTTATCTTATCTGACATATGGACTTGACCACAAAAACTTAACCTTGTTATCTGATCCATGTAATGAGTCAAGGTTAAGTGAAAACTGCCGGACAGGCATGAGGACCTTGCAAGGTATGCAGATACCAAATATAGTTATTCTATTACTCATAATAAAAGAGAAATTAAGATTACAAAAATCAAGTTTTTTTTTAGCAGTCATTGAACCATGAAAATTAGTTCAGGGACAATGGACATATGACAAACACATGGCATCAATATACAAATTATAAAGCATCCAGGTCTTCTACCTTCTATAATATAAAACTTTTAAGTATTTTGTTAACGCTGCCACCGCCAGATCACTATCCCTATGTCTCGCTTTCTGCAACAGAAATCGCAGGCTCGACAAAAAACAATGATCACTACAATTTACCAACTAAGAAAAGTTTGTTACCTTCAATTTTTTGCTATAATGGTCATAATTTTTATTTTTCAGTTGTATTTATTTACTCCTGATATAAAAATGCATCATTTAGTTGAAATACATAGCATAATTTACAGTCAAACAAATAACAAGCATTCTGTGAGTATTGCCTGGTAATACATAGTCCCCTACTGGCTAAAAATTCATTGTACTGGAACAAAATTCTAACTTGATCTATAACTTGTCATGGTGTAAACTATATAACAAATATCAAGTCATAATATCTTCAAGCATTGACGAAAAAAAAATGTGCAAAATTGATTACTTGAGTGAATTTTCTAAGTCCAAGGACCATAACTCTGCACAAAATCATCAGACCAGAACAAAATTCGAACTTGATCTGTAACTTGTCATGATAAAACTATATACCAATCATCAAATCAATATCTTCAAACATGACAAAAAAAGTGCAGAAAACTGATAGTTGAGTGAATTTTTCTAAGTTCAAGGACCATAACTCTGCACAAAATCGTCAGACCAGAACAAAATTCGAAATTGATCTGTAACTTGTCATGATAATTCAATACACCATATATCAAATCGATATCTTCAATCACGAAGGAAAAAAGTGTGGAAAACTGATTTGCCGGACTGACAGATGGACAGACAGACAGACGGAGTGCAAACCTAAAGTCCCCTCCGACTTTGTTGATAGGGGACTAATAATTGTGGTTAACATGGTTAACTCATTAGAGAATGAAAACTTTTCCACACAAAATTATAACCAAATAATCAAATAAACCGGTGACAATTCCACTTCCAGTGGTACAAAGTTGATTAAAATCTGACCTGACATGAACCCACAGAAATTTTAAGAAAAAAAAAATGTGGTTTTAAATGAAATAGATAGTGAAAAATCGTAAGTGATAAATATTTGTCAACCATAGTTTCGAAATATCAGATAGAATCCTTCAACTTGTTAGTTTTTTATGAACTAAAATTCAAACTTATTTTATTTTTTTTAAATTCTACTACAATTCACTCCCTGAAATTGTATAAAACCATGAATAAGCTGGTCAAATGTTTTCCTAGGGTTAGACACTCTTGTTCTTTTTTTTTTTTTCACTTCATTAATTATATTTCTTATATTTCTTGAAGTGAAAAATTTTGAGTTATTGTCCAAAAACTGGAAAATCCCCTCTTTTTTAATGAATAAAATCCCATAACTCGGAAATGTAAAATCTAAAATTTATAGAATTCTAAAGGGAACTTACATCAACAGATATAAATAATTCACCAAAGTTTCATGAGAACTGCTGAAAGCATTTCTGAGTTATTGTCCAAAAACTGGAAAATCCCCCTTTTTTAATGAATAAAATCCCATAACTCGGAAATGTAAAATCTAAAATTTATAAAATTCTAAAGGGAGCTTACATCAACAGATATTAATAATTCACCAAAGTTTCATGAGAACTGCTGAAAGCATTTTTGAGTTATTGTCCGAAAACTGGAAAATCCCCCTTTTTTTATGAATAAAACCCTGCAACTCGGAAACGTAAAATCTAAAATTTATAAAAATCGAAAGGGAGCTCATGTCAATAGATATAAACAATTCACCAAAATTCCTTGAAAGTTGGTGAAAGCATTCTTGAGTTATTGTCGGAAAACTGGAAAATCCCCCCTTTTTTAATGAATAAAACCCCAAAACTCGGAAGCGGTAAATCTGAATTTTTTAAAAAAAGAAAGGGAGCTCACGTCAATAGTTATAAACAATTCACCAAAGTTTCATGCATATTGCTTAAAGCTTTTTTGAGTTAATGTCTGACATGTTGACGACGGAAGGACAGACGGTCAACGGTATACCATCATACGTCCCATATACGGGCGTATAAAAAATTAAATGAAAATCATTTACTGAGGATCTCCTAGTCATGTGTGTAATTTTGATAGTATAATGAAAATGTTGATATTTATTTAGTCAATGGAACATGACTGAGGGGGCAGGTCAAAACAATCTCCATGGTAATGAGATGTGCATACTTATATATATAATTAATATCTTAACATCAGTGCTTCCTCTTAAAATGGCGTTATATATAAACTTTAACACTTTGTAGACGCTGATGCATGAAACAGCATACCTCTCGTTTGTAGAGAGTCTTCCAACCACTATCCTCCAATATTTCAAAGAAAATATTTTTATAATTGGCCAATACCGTAAAAAGGCTTGTATAGTCCACGGTTTTATTCTCCAAAATTGGACCTTCCAGACGGGGTGCCGACTATAGAGTACAATAAGCAAGAAATAAGAGAAAAATTTCAATTTCGCGGGCGAGGTGGTTTGTTTACGTTCCGCCATCTTTGTTATTTATATTGTAGAGGGCGCTCTTATCATTTTTCAAACTAATAATTTTAACTCATCCATATTAATAAGTTATTTCTATTCAATATCAAATTAATACTGATAAATATAAAAACTAAACCTTTCATTACAAATTTCTCGTTTCTTTTCAATGCATTGGTTGAAATAAACTGGTATCTGCTTGATTGAAAGATACAAACATAGTGAAAAAGACAACCGTAAACCAGCTTAGAATTTGTAAACTACAAAACGTAATCGGTTATTGTTCGTTCCGTTTTGGTGTTTTATACTGACTAATATGGTTTGTATTAGCTTAAGACCCTTCAAACATTAATGTGATAGATATATTAAAGACTGTTTTACAAAAGGATGGAACTGTTTTACTTTCAAAGTCGTATTATAGTGATATCTGTTATGTACGGATTTCGACTCTCACCGGTTAGTTTCTTCTTTTACACGTGCTTTTTAAACTTCCTGTTTAAACATACACAAGTTTCTAAATTGTTTTTTAAGTGAATTAAACTTATTTTAACAATCATGAAGCGTTCTAGAATCATTTACAAGCAGTTTCAGCTTCTGTTTGATGATGGAAAACAGGTTTTCCCAAGAAAATACCGCAAACGACCGCACAGGATTTGAAATTACCGGAGTTTCATTAGACCTTTTCTAACAGTTACTAAAAGTTTTTTTACCTAAAATTTCGTGGGGAGAAGGGGGTGCGGACTATGTACCAGTGCGAACTATACAAGCCTTTCTACGGTAAGAATAGAGGACACAGCCACATTTTCAATCCTTTCAGGACCATTAAAAGGGGACCTTCAACACTTTGGGTTAAAATTGCCAAGTATGTTATTGGATGATGAAAATGTAATGTTCCCTTAGGTTTCAAAGGGAACTATGTGTGGCCATGTTTTCTATCCAATCCACAGTAAGTGATGATTGATTGTAGAGAGTCTTCAAATAATCAATCCCCTTTAAAAGGTTTGGCCTTGTACTTAAAAAGAATCTAAATAGAAGATTGTGTCTGAGGACACGAATGCCCCCGCTTAAGCTATACAATTTTCCTAGTAAAACAGGGTATAACTCGAAAATCGTAAGTGACTCACTGCCCAAATTCTAACTCTGTCTGCATGTATTGGTTCTTAGCATGGTGTACAAGTTTCATAAAATTGAGATGATTAAAACTTATGTTAGAGTGTGGAAAAGAAAATAGTAGGACAGAAAGATGGAAGGACGGATGGTCAAGGCTAACACTTAAATCAGCCAATCAGACCCTCTGAATCAAAAATAGTCTCTGGTTGTGACATTATCATCAGGTTTAAACCAAATGAAGACCATTTGTATATTTAAGACCTTTCATACATCATTCCGGCCAAGTATGGTTAAATTAGACAAAGTGGTTTCAGCAAATGAACATGAAACTGTGAAATGGTTATGGACGACAGATGGACAAAAGACACCAAGTGTTCGCAATAGGTCATATGCCATTCAGCATGTTCAAGCCAGGTGTTAAAATGACACCACAAAATGGTACAAAAACATTCACAGAATATGCAAAAATTCTTACCTGGTCTCATCTGTTTAATTGTGAAGTCATTTATTAAATGGTGGTTGTGTTCATTAAGATTACAATGCAAACTAACACAGTCACTTTGAAATAATAAGTCCTGAAGAGTGTACACTCTTGTGATACCTGAAATTAATAAATTAAAACACATAAAATATTTACTTTAATTTTTCCAATGTAAGCTGTCCACATTTTTTGTACCAACATTTCTTAGCAGCACTTGTTTAACAAGTACTTCATGTCTCCCAGTTCTTCAAGCTGATGCAATATTCCAAAGTTTGTGTTTCTTATCCCTTTCTTTTGAGAGGGTTACTGCTTATAAAAAAGCTACTGATCAAAAGATTTTTCATGTTAAACTTGAAACATAAATCAGGTGGCATTTTTCTCTTTTGAATTGTTTTATATTTTGTCATGCTAGGGCCTTTTATGGCTTACTATATGGTGTGGGTTTTGCTCATTGTTGAAGGTCGTACAGAACCTTACACATGATTACATTGTCATCTATGGTGGATAGTTGTCTCAATGACAATCATGTCACATCTTATTTTTATACTGAAGACATCTCTTTGAAGGTTTGACACAATCATGTTTCTGCCAATCATTCAAACACATCTGTGTTACAAGCCAAAGGTTTAGTCATAGTAACAATCCTATCTTCCTCATTCAGAACATACCAACAGATAGGATTTAACACAGAATTTTTACTTGTTAACTGCAACACGACCAGATTCAGCAGAGCAGAAACTGCACCCGTGTTCTCTGCTTTTTCGTGGGGTTTGTGTGTAGCTCAATCTATGTTTTCTTTAATGTTATGTGGTTGTTTGATTTTTTTTCCATGGTTTCTGCCCGTCTTTCTCTTCTAATGTATTAATGTGTGAAGGTAATGAGATACTCTCTTGATTTCTTTATGTCCCTTTTCTTTTTCATTTTGATCAAATTAGCAAGTGCAATGCAAACTGGATTTCTCTATGCACTAAATGAATATCTTTAAATGTTTATCAATCTTAGTTTAATAGCAATATATTTTTTTCCTTTTTTTTTCAAATGTTTATATCACCTCCTACACATAAATTCAGAGACATTTATAGAAAGTAAGAAAAAATAATTGGACAAACATTGATCAATATTTCCTAATTAGCACATTGCCAACCAAACAAACATATACAATGGTATTTCTTAATTCATTAGACGGATCATGAGGAAATCAAGAGGGTATCTAATTCACTACAAAAGGTGAAAAAGGAGCTACAAAATTTCAGAGAAAATGACTGAAACACAAAACTGAACTAATTGGCAATATTTGTGGCATCACTTTTTTCCCATGTCAAAATGTTTATTCTTGACTAACTGTATCAATATCCAAGACCAATACAGTAAGATTTGTTGTCTGCTTGCACATACCAATAATTTTTTGTATGTTTTAGGTTTTTTAAACTGATATAATCAAATACAGAAGGAGATATTCTGATAGTCAAGGGTAAAACAATATTTCTAAGATACAGTCATGGCAAGGAAAGTACTTTTGCAGTGAATATTCCCAATTACAGTATTATTTATTACAATTTGATGCTGAGTATACATACCTAATGATTTTTCAACACCATCCTGGAGATATGGGTCATAAAAAATAACATTAAAGCCAAAAGCCTTTGCTCTTAGAGCCACTGCAGATCCTACACGACCTGAAAATTAAAAAAATCTAATATTACTGTGGATTCATTTATTTTCTTGGTTACTAATTTTTATGATTTTGGAACAGTTACAAGTCTTTTCAAACCTTTCAAGGTTATGCAAATTCCCACAGTTGTAACAAATACTGATTATAAGCCTATATAATTTGCATTTAAATGTTCTATATTTATAAAGAAGAATTTGCACAAATTATGCAAATAGATGAACTTTGTAAATATTAGTAACATTATCACATAACAGCTGATAATTCTTGGTAATTATTCTCGAAATACACAATCCTAACGTAACTATGAAGATGTAATCAATTTTGAAAGAGAATACATGTTTTTACACTCACCTAACCCAACAATTCCGAGCGTATCCCCTCGAATTCTGGCAGATCCTTGTGCTGCTTCCCGTAATTGTTCTGGTCCATTAACTTTTTTACCTTCTCGTACCATATTTGCTAACCAATATGTCCGTCTATATAAATTTAAAATCAAGCATATTGTTGAATCAGCAACTTCCTCTACACCATATCCAGGTACATTACACACAGCAATACCTGAAGGAAAAAAAGAATTTATGGTTTTGACATGACAAACAGGAGAACAAAGACAAAACTACAAAGTAAAGTAAATATTATCAATTTATCACTTTTATTCTATTATAATCAGTAGATTTCCCAATGCCAGGTTTTTACTATGCAACAATTATCTTAAAGGGGATAACTATTTCATAACTCCTGTTGAAATCTTAAAACTAAAATGATTTTTGATATTAACAAAAATGCTACATGTTTCTATTGACAATTACAATGATTAGCATTATCTTTCATTGTCCTGGATACAAAGGATGTCTGGATTTATCCCATTGGTAAGTAAAACTAATGCTATAGAGGGGTGTCCATTTGGTTGTGCAGGATGTATAAATATGCAGCCAAGTCCAGTCTGAATGGGAAACTTTAGGGTTTGCAGATGGCCTATTGATAATCCCTATCTAAATTAAAAGTCCAGTGGAAGTCAAATGTCCCCTCCTTTATCCCTGTCCACTCCTTTTGCAGAACCTACTTCTTGATTATTGTTTATCTATTTGTGTCCTGAATGTGCATGAAATATTTGCCACTGTAATAACAATCAATCAATCAATTCATTGTCCTAAATATGCAGAAAATAAAACAATAAATCAACCATTATCTTCTGTCATGTCTGCCCTACCGAACATGCATGAAATATTTGCCACTGAACATCATGAATATTACCATCTATTAGTGTCTTCCTTGATGAGCCTTAATATGACATTCTTTAAACTGAAGGATCTTGTTACTTAAAATTCAAGTTCATTTTGAGTAGAATGCACAAGTATAAGTTCAAGATTTGAAATGCAAGAAAAAGAGACAGTGTTAAAGGTCAAGAGCAGTTAACATTATGAGAGTAAATGGACTTGAATCCATAAAGAATAAGACTGCATTAAAATAGGTAAACAAGATGCTGAAATTTACAAAAATGAATTTCGGTATAAAAATAAAAAAATATTGTCTCAAGATTCACAGCTTTGATAAATAAGAATGCATGCATTGTTGTGTTAAGCTTACACCGACTCATAATTCAAAGTATAATAAAAATCAACCTTATACCATAATACGTCCCGTAAACGGGCGTATAACAAGAAGTAGGTTTCTGACAGATCCAAATACTGACATATGTTACAACTTCACGGTTGAACTGCTGACCAAATATGAATTTATTCTGTTCTGACAGTAGTAATGAAGAAATATATGACGAAAATTTTAAATTCAAAAGTATCAGCATACAGGAACTATATGAATGTGCATGAAACATTTCCAACTGGACAGTAAGTAACAACTATCAATTTGATAAATAAGAATACATGCATACTTCTTTCTTTTATGATAGTTTGATATATTAAAGTATAAGTGACTTCTTCATACAGGTTTATTCAGTAGTTTCCAAAAAAAGTCTGAAAATCCCATTAAATATATACAGCCAAACCTGTATGAAGAAGTCACTCATGGGAAGTATTAAAAGTGACCACTCAAGAGAGTTGGCCTTTCAAAAGTTCCCAAACATTCTGATATCACCCATGGCCCAGATGCCGGCAAATTGTTTTAGCGTTTTCAATCGAAAGAGTTATTGATCTTGGGGTAGTGAAATAAAAAATAACTGATTCCAGCATTGTATATCAGAATAAAACTTTCAAAATATGTTAATATTCGTGGAGAAATAAGTGGGTGATACTGTTTTAAATGGAAAGTAAAAGGAGTAGAGCATGAGTAATTCACAAATTCACCTCTTATTACACAATCTCAATTGAAAACAGGTTCCAATTCTCATTTGGACTTTGATCCTGAACTTTATATACTTTTTGTAATGAGTATATTGGTATTTAAACATTACAATGACTGTTGTTCAAAGTTGAAATGACAATTTCATGTGAAAATAAGGCAACCACTGACATCGTTTGAAAAATATTAAATTACAGAGAAAATGTTTGGGAGGTTCTACAAGCAACGGTTAGAGACAGGTATCTGCTGAAACAGCACGACTTGTGATTTGCAGATTTGGATATATATATTTACATCTTCAATAAACCTACCAAGTTCTCCAGCAGCTTTGACATCCACGTTGTCGTATCCACTTCCAATACGAACAATAACTCGCAGATTCTTAAACTTCTCTAAATCTTCTTTTGCAAGGGTTATGGTATGCCACATTAAAGCTCCCACAGCTTCATTTAATACCTATCAACATTAAATATACAGCTTCATTTAATACCTATCAACATTAAATATACAGCTTCATTTAATACCTATCAACATTAAATATTGGTTTTCACATTCATTTTTATAAAACATACAATTCAACTTGAGATTGGAAATTAAACAAATAAGATGTTTATGTATTTTATTCATTTTCTTTGTCAAATATTCAATATCCATCACATTTCTATTGTCAGTAAATAGGGTAAAATCTGACATTCTGATTCCGATCTTAACTTCAAGTTGTTAACTTTTATGTCATTTGGTCACTGGTGGAGTGTTGTCTCATTGGCAATCATACCACATCATCTTATTTTAATAAATGTGCGATACTGAACTTAGAATTTGCATTATTATCCTTCAACAGAGACTTTAAATGTAGAACAGATGTACATGTTATAGTGGTAGAAAGTTTGACCTGCAACTTGCTTTCTACCGACCCTAGAGATCATGCACAGTATTGTGCTTGCATATATTTAGCTTCGGGTACTTACTTTTTCATGTATTTCTTGTGTAGACTGAGCATCACAGAAAGCCACTGTTGCCACATCTTTCAGAATGGGCATTTCAATAGAGCAGTCCCTTCCATCAAGTAGTGCTATCAATGGACGTGGATGCATAGGTCCATTTGGGATTGGTCCACGAATGGACACAGACACTAAAAACAAAAGTAGAATCTAGTCAAAATAATTCAATAATTGTCATGACATACAGTTTTCAAGACCAGGTAACTTCGTTTTTTTTTTCATTTTATACAAACTTTTTTAAAACTATGTGGTTTTACCTAATCTTTGACATCTGTAACAGACAGAAATCATATATTTCTGAAAACCGTTGTAACAACATGTACCTATATTTTTATAGAAAAGAAGATTGTTTTAAATATTTTGTTGTATAATAAGTTTAACTGAACAATATGACTTATGTAATTGATGCCTTATAAACATGGTAAAGTTACAAGCTTTTTATACACTTTTTTTAACATCCTGGTACATGACTCAACATTGGAAAAAATACAAATGTAAACTGTCATAAAATACAAAGACCAAACAAATTTTTTGCATAAATCTATGCTTCATTTAATCGGAAAAATTCCAATCAATCGAAAAAATGACTCAAACTATAGTTCTTACTAGGAAAACTGTCTAATAACACTAGTATATGCACTGAGGAAAGGATGAATTGATAAGTAAAATGTCCAGTGAGCAATTTTCAACCATACTCATATGTTGATGTGATATGAATGTCCTGGTTTCCACTTTACCACATGCTGAGTAGGACATCTAACATGCTAGCTAACAAGCTTACACTCTGTAAGAACAGTCCTACCAAGACATATTATTCTAATGGAAGACTGACCCATTTTTGTTCCTTTATCCTGCTCTTATAATAAGCTGAGAAATAACCAAAACTAATTTCAAACTCTATGGATTTAACTATATTTCTGACTTTCGGACACAGATTTTTCCTTATTTATAAGTCTAAAAGGACTGGTGCATAAAAAAGTAACATACAAACCTGTAGCCTAAAAATAGTTTTTGATGGACAAAATCACTTCACATTTTTCACTGAACATATTATATAATAGACAACAGATCTAAGAAATATTGCTATAACAGACTATGGTCAAATTTCAATGACATGCTAAGGTTCATTTTGACAATGGCCATTGTATAGCTGTTGAATATGGATACAAGTTAGACCAAGTGTTAACAGTCATGCTATGGATTTTGATTTTTAAACAGTCTTATGTTATGATTCTGGTAAGATCAATGCCTTTCAACTACTATTCGGTTAACATCAGAATGTTTCATTTTTATGTTAGGTACGACATTTAGACTTTTTCAACCTACTAAGCTTTTGGTTGTAATTTCCGTTCCTGTTATACATACTGTTTGGTGCTTCAAGTCTTGGTCTCTTCACTGGCTGCAGTGTTTTCTTTTTGTCCATGTGATGCATAAGTAGAGGTTAAACTCCACCAACTTTTGGATCCAAGTTCTGCTACAAAGGCTGACAACCTTATAGCCTGAAGAAATATAAAACCAAACACTGAAGGTGTCATACTATTAAGAACCTCTTGTCTTTCTTTCCTATTCATGAAATCTTATTCACATAAGTGTTGACTATAAAGTATGTAACATAAAATTGTGAATGGAAACGGGGAACATGTATAAAGAACTACTGTAAATTCAGAAATTTTTTATATGTTTTTATTATTGTAAATAATGCGACAGGTGCATGGTTTTCAAATAAATGGGGAATGATGATGCCCCCACTTGCATATCATATAAAGTTATAAAGGGACATAACTGAAGAATGGTTAAAGTGATGCCACCAAAATTCAAACTTGATCTGTGTTTTGTGGTAATAAGCATTGTGTATAAGTTTCATAACATTTGGTAGAGGCAAACTAAAGTTAGAGAAAGGAAACGAAAAATTCAGCAATTTTTCCATTTGTAAAGGGGCATAACTCTAGAACGGTTCAAGTGATGCCACCAAAATTCAAACTTGATCTGTGTTTTGTGGTAATAAGCATTGTGTATAAGTTTCATAACATTTGGTGGAGGCAAACTAAAGTTAGAGAATCAAAACCAACTTTGGGAAGTACAGACGGACAAGGGTAAAACTTAATGCCCCCTCCATTACGGCAGGGGCATAAAAATAAAAATTTTGTTACTGTTCAACAATGGTAATAATAAAATGCATGCAAAAATTTCTGAATTTCCAGTACCTTATTAAACCCCACCACAGGTTCTTGTGCCTATCCCATGTTGTTTTAGTCATTCTAATAAGAAATATGGTGTTGAATGCAGATGGATGATGGTCTATTGTTTATTTCATTTGCAACTTCTTTATGTTTATTCTCCATTCCTGGCATTTAAATGAAAACTATTCCAATTAGTTCATACTGAACCTGTATTAGTTTCCTGCAGTTGTATTTGTTCTTAGTTTGCTTTTGTTATATTAAGTCATTGGTTAATAAAGGCGTAATAAAATTGGTGTTTTCATATATTGATCCTGTATTATGTCCTCTTACAGTTGTATTGCGTCTGGATCAGCTAATGTAGCTCTGATGCCCTTCTTATTTCTATTGGATATTTGATCGAATCAAGAATTACCATTTACTTTACAAACACCTAATATCCCTGGTCATTTGACATTGTCTAAAAGACTTTGGAAATTATAAAATGTATAGTACCTGACTTGTATCACCTAAATGTTTTTCTCGGATGAAGTTTCAGCACTGATTTCAACTATTCTTCTGGCAATATGGTTAGATATGCCCACTTTTTACAAGGCTGGTCTTCATGACCGACTTTTGGTTTCTTTTATCTTCTTTGTGTAAAACCTCTACAAACATAAAAATTATTACATTTAACTAAATGAATAATATTTCATGCAAGAGATATAATCCTGTAACTAACACTTCCTTTTTCCTAGTAGCATTCCTATAACTTTTTTGGAAATTTTGTTCCACCATGCGTTTTTGTTGATGAAATCATGACCCGCATTAACCTTAAGTTATGATCTCTAATATGGCATAGCTGAAAAGTTGCATGCAATTGTTAAACAGATTTGAAAAGTGAAACAAGCAACTTTCAAACTTGCATGCAACTGTGTTAAAGACTGTACACACAGTATTATTGGTATTAAGAACAAATGATACACCAATTTTCAAATATCATTAACTATCTTTTTCAAGAACAATGTGCAAAACAAACTTGGGTCATAAGATGTGAAAAAGGTCAAGGAGAGATACAATCTGGGCCAAAATTGGGTCAAACCAAATGCAGTTTATAACTTCTTGGGCTTGCAAAAATAAAGGTTGAAATCTATGTACTTCAATAAAACATTGCTATCTCTTTTCAAGTCAGGAAACGAACATTTAATTCAGAAATATGGCAAACTTGCACAAAAACTTGACCTGCTGTTTGGCTCATACTTGCTCATAAATATAGATCTTAGGTATCACACAAAAAAGATATTTACAAAGGAAGTGTATTTTTTATTATCAACTTGCAAACACAGAACATTTTGGGTGATGCTTGTAGGCTACACATGTATGTCAATTCAACCGATGGGTGATGCTTGTAGGCTACACATGTATGTCAATTCAACCGATGGGTAATGCTTGTAGGCTACACATGTATGTCAATTCAACCGATGGGTGATGCTTGTAGGCTTCACATGTATGTCAATTCAACTGATGGGTGATGCTTGTAGGCTACACATGTATGTCAATTCAACCGATGGGTGATGCTTGTAGGCTACACATGTATGTCAATTCAACCGATGGGTGATGCTTTTAGGCTACACATGTATGTCAATTCAACTGATGGGTGATGCTTGTAGGCTACACATGTATGTCAATTCAACTGAAATGTTCCTAAAATTGACCTCCTTTTTATTATCAATTTGGCAAACTTCTCATGAAGTCATCAGGAACAGACATGTAAACCAAAGCAAGATAAATTGATCTATGCTTAAAAAATTTCATTAATCATAAACGTATAAACATTACTAATTAATTTACATATTGTGTAGTACATTCAACAAAAAAAGTCAATAACATTTGAATTTACAAGTTACACACCATCTATATTTGCACTCTGTGTAACCAGATAACGTCGCTCAAATTATAATGCATAAATGTATTATCATCACGATAGATATGCAGATCAATGCTCTTATAACTTTGTAAATATAGTTGTAAAGATTCCACACCTGATTACCTTCTAAACCCGAATGCTTCAAAGGTTTCTGACTGGTGTTACTAAGTATGTCTACCTCTGTATCAAAATCCAGGAGGAAAATCTAAATGCTGCTAAAGTGTTAATTATATGTTTTCTATTGTTCTCTTTTATACCCTCACAGATATAAGAATCTACATATATATTTTCCAAAAATGATCAGAAAAACTGGTTGTACGTTGCAAAATAGCAAACTAAATTCAAATAAAAATTCCAATGATGTATGACTTATTAATTCAATTACATTTTTTTATTACTTCAGTGTGTATTCATACTACATCTTCTTTTTGAAAAGAATTATTTTTAACATACACAATTCTTTCATTTTCTTTATGATCACCTTAAAACACGGATATGACAAGTTTAAACTGTGTTTACCTGTGTTATTTTTTGTCACATATTTTTTAATTTGTCAATGTGTCAACAAAACACGACAAAGGAATAAGGTTTATCGACCTACCCATGTTCCGTTTGGAACAAAATTTTTACCTTGATAAATTATTCCGAACATGTCACAGTTTAATGAGTAAATCCAAGGTATAAAGGAAAGTGTCATTGCTTTTCTAAATAAATGCATTTGTGATAACTGTCAGCATTTGTTTTCAAATATCAATAACAATCATTATTGTTTTTTTCTAGTTCAATTTCTAAAAGTTTTAAATTTAAAACTTCTTTAACAACAACATGATACTTGAAATAATATAAACACATAAAATTGTATAATTGTTAAGTCCATGCATGTACAAGTCATTATAGACTTTTCTTTCCTGAAGATCATATATAGCAATTAATATAATAACAAAACATTTAACATAGTCATGATATTTGGTAGCAAAAAGACAACTTCCAACATGAAGAACAATTGGGTCAAAGACTCTTTGCTATACTTTTGACTTGTAATTTGAAAGGCTATAAATAGTTTAATCAACTGATGTCTACAAATCAACTGACAAAACTATGAAAAATCTAGTCTCCCAACAGATACCAATTAAAACAAACAAAATCATCAAAATAGTTTATATCTTATATCAAGAGAATCTGTTAAAATCGACTAAGTTACACCACCTGGAAAAGCTGAAGGTAAGAAATTATCCAATTGTACCTGCAGTCCCCTTCACAAACAGTGAAGAGCATACATGCATATTTTCAATGTGTATAATATAAACATTTAATGTAAAAAAAAATTAGGATATGGATTGAAACTACCTATAGGAGTTGATTACAAAAAAATGGAACATTTAATCTCCCATCCAGGTTGATGCTGCAAGTGACCAAAGTTTCAAAGGAAAGTTACATATTGAAAATGTATATATGCATATGTACTCTAGAACGTTTGATGGCTCTTGAAGGAGATAGAAGCAGGATTTGATTCTACAAAATGGGTAACCTTTGTCCAGAAATGCATATATATTGAAATTTTGACAAGTTTCACCATCAGGAAAATCTACTAACATTCCCCAAATGTGTACCTGAAGTGAGGTGCACAACATCAATGTTTATAAAATAACAAAATAAAGTATGATGGCTCTGGATTGACAACTGTAAGATTTAAATGAAAAAATCAAATACAATGTACATGCAAAAATAGGTAACCCCTGAAAATCCCCCCTTTGCACCAGCATGCTCCATGTTCAGTATAAGATTGATTTTCACTGCATGCAACCCTGCCATAATTTGATACCCAGTGACTTTTAAAACTATACTTGACAGTCCTTCGAGACCAGTACAAAGAAACCACCATATATAAGTACAGATTCCACCTTTACAAAGGGGAGTTTAAAATGGAGTTGTGAAAATATGATTTTTTTAAATTGATGACAGCAGTAAGCTGAATTAGTTCCACATTTATTTTTAATTTCAGTGAAAAATGAAGTTAACATTTAGTTGTGTTTTCTTTTGTTCCTTTTTAAATCTCACCATAGCATATTATCATTTCTTTTTTAATGTGAAGACAGTTTTTAATAATGGCAACCATTGATCTAATAAATGTAGATATGTGTCTTTTTTCTCTTGGTATAATAAATTATATATGTAGTAATAGGTGCATTGAACTTCTTCATGGTCCATAACAACTTCCTTTTTCTCATGTTAGTCAACAATTGAAGTGTTCATTTCCTTGTGTGTTGTACAATATAAACTATAATATATCATAAATTGTATTAAATATACATGTGGAAATGTACACGATTGGATTTAAATGTATGTGAAAGCCATTCAATGTGATATGAAAAATAATGAAATCACTTAAGATGTAAACATGTGTCCATCTTATTTGAATGGACACATAATTTTAAAAAATACAAAGGAATAAAAAGAAGATTTTGGAGAAAGTCAGTGTAAATTTTAATTCATTTCGAATTGAAAATTAATAAGTTGTTAATCTTGTATATTTACTTGTCACAGTTTTTAGCAATCTTTCCCATTTCAATGTTTGGTTCTTTTTTTTATATAACTTTTTCTACTAGCAAAAGTTTGCTTGAAGTGTTGCAGATTTATCCCTAAACATTTGGGTGTAAAAGCCTGTGTGGCCACCAGCCTCCAACCTTTAGTGACACATACAAAAATAAGTCTAAAGTGAATAACCTTTACTCAATCATGTCCTTGTAATTGTAGCTGTTCCGAGCATATTTCATTACAGATGTCTAATGACTTTGTAGGCGCATATAAATTTTTATCTACAAATACATGCGTACATGTACATGTATTTCATATTACATACATGCACCTGTGTTTGTAGCTACAGTGAAGTGAATAAAAACAATTTCATTTTGAAGTCACAAAGTGCTTACAAAATAAAAACTTAGTGTAGCAATACACATTGTACATATGGTATATCAATTATAGGGAGAAAAGTTCTTTATAATGAACATTACAATACATATCATGTTTTCAGACAGAATCAATCAGCATATAAATATGCATATCATTCCTACTCAAAAATCTGCTTTTACTTAACAATTGAATTCAATAGGTCATGACCTTTTTGCAAATGCCTTCAAAATTCATTACAGCTGCTTGTTACATCAGAATGTTAATGTACAATGTTCACCTATTTCAAAGATCAATTTAAAACCTTTCTGAATTGTTTAAAAAAAATAACAATTAAAGGAGATGTGAAGCAGCAATGAAACAGCAATCAAAAAAAAAAAAATAACACAAGAAAGATAGGAAAACAAACTATCGTCATCAATAGACAAGTGTCCATACGATAGGTCAAGCTCTAAAATCATCCCAAGTCTATAAAAGCCTTCATAATGATACATGTTTATCTGACAATATCAGGGTCCCCTTGCCAGATGGAAACAATAGGTATTTACAAATTTACCTTTCACAAAATAAAAAGTCAATACCTATAAGTGTTTCCAATATGTTTATTTATATAGCCACTGTAAATAAGATAATGTAATATAACACATGAATATGCAAGCAGTTATACCACCAAAATATTGAAATTGCAAACTTACATGTAATGTCATCTTACATGTTACTATACTACGTGTTCATGTAGTTGTCAAATGTGTAGTTTTATTATTGTAATTCATATATGCAGTGTGGACATTTTCCAATTATACATTTGTACATGTCGGGGCTCATGCTACTGAATGGCATGGGTGAAGACGCTTTCCTTCTGAAACTAAGCCTTCAAAAGTGAAATAAAGCCAACCTGGTTTTCCTACAGTCACCCTCTTGGAATATTTCCTTATATTTCATGAGATTTTTTACTTATGTGCATACCCCAAAAATTCTTTCATTTCCAATAAATGTCATAGCTTACAAACAGTTAAAAAGTTTATGTACAACTGTAAACAGTAAATTAAAGTAATATTCAGTACATCATGTGTTTACAAAGAATCTGAAATTTCTAAATACGGATTATGCATCACTTGCTTGCTGATATTTAGCAAATAAAATATGTTTAAACTAAACATATAGTATTCTAGAATTTCATAAAATCAAAAAAGTGAAAAGGTACAGAAAACTTTACTTTAAGATAGATGCATGATTTTCCTTACATTGAAACATCAATGAGGATGTTCAACTTTTCACAGTACAATGTACATCATAGATGTTCTTCTAATCATTCATCTTCCCTTAGAATTACTTGCATAGGAATTCTAGAACGCTGAGTGTAACAGCAATACCAGTAATGGTACTTTGGACCAAAGATCTATTCAGACCAGTAAATTTTAATCTTTTTTAAAAGGTTATATACAGGTACACATATAAGCTGATGTTAGTGTTAAAATAGTTCCTGCATAAGTATCTATAATTCTGAACCATTTTAACAGTAATGTATCAAGTAGTTCGCCTCTATGTTGGGACATACCCACAGAGTCCAATTTTATCAAATCATTTTCCCCTTATCATGCTTTTTACAAGATATATGCAATATTGGCATAAGTATAGTATTTAAGAATAATATAATTTTGCTGATTTTATTTATCTGTCTGAAAAATCCATTTTTAATGTTGTTTTCAGCTGCTTTGGTGACTTTTGAAAACTATATGTTGGACATATACACAAATGTAATGTACACAATGTATGGACTCCTCAGCAGTTAGTTACTTATGTAAAAGTAGGGTCCCAATGCATTTAAGCTTCAAATTTAATTTCTTCCAGTGACAAATAATTTTAACACTAAAGTTGTTTAAATAAATTATCTAAATTTATAATATCAAGTTCAAAATTATTTTTAGTTTCAATTCCGACTTTTAGACAAGTGAATTGTGATTTCCAACTGAAGGGGCAAAAGTGTCTGCCTTTACCACTACTTCAGAGCAGCAACTATTTAAAAACTAAGTGTTATGATAAGTTCAAAGTAGTTTCAATGGCATCTGGGACAAATGACTTCTTACAGTAGTTTCAGAGGAATTCCAAACTTTCAAGGTACTCCTATGCTTCAATCAAGGTACAATGCGGCAAAAAGAATAAGCATAATCTACAATGCACCTCATAAAATTGGTAGGTCCAGGGGAAAAAAGAATAAGATCTCAAGTTTATGTAGTGTTTTCCCCTATAAACTGTTTGAAAGATAGGGGAAAGGCAGGTGGTCATGAATTTTGAAGGATGTTGGCCTATATTGAGTTATAGGGTACTTCAAATCAAAAGGATGGGGGCCTAAATTTAATGCATGGGGGCACCACTATGCATAAACCATCTAGGGAAAACACTGCATTTTCATGCAAGTTCTTTTGTCACTTCTAGAAAAGTAGCAATTATTTCTATTCCCTAGTTCAAAGAGTCACTGCTGTAAAAACAAGGACAAAAATTAAAAGTTTATAATTATTTTCTTCAAAATATGCAGTTGTACCTATGTAAATCAGTTTTAAAGTTCTATAAATGTTCAGAGTTTCAAGTCTCTTTCAGAAAATATTTTTCATGTTGGTCTAAATTTATTTACTCTAGAAATTCCATGCATGCATGTAAGTATTAAGCTAATCTTATCATAAGTGATGCAACCTGAAAAGAACAAATTGTATTTATCATCTGTCTGTCACTATCCAATAATAAACAATAAAGAAACTGTGAATCCAAATATATATCCTCAAGTGGGTATTTAATTACTGCTATATAATTTACTTAAATTACTATTTTAAATCAATAAAAAAAATTACAAAATTGTTTAGTACTATTAATCTATTGCACAAGAAAATCATTGCATCTAAATCTGAATAGCCTGCAGATAGCTTGTACAATATATTTGCCATTTAAATAACTGATAATCCATTTTATGGATTTATCTGTATTTAAATATTTTCTTTTAATGTACTTAACCTGCAACAACTTAAATATAGATACTAATATCAATTCAATATCAACTCACATGATAAACATGTCTTTATAACCACAAGAACTTATTGATCTTCAAAAAGATACACACGTATATTACACACATATCTTATGACTACCAATCAAGAAAAGTACACTACTGTTAGATAATGGCATATCAGATCAAAAATAAACCACATACTAAAACATCAATACAACTTAGCATGTTAATCAATATCTATAATAAATCATTTGATTATCTGTCTGCAATGGTCTGGTTACTTTATCAGCTATAACAGACATCATTCTGTGCCACTGTGTAATACACATCAACAAAACAATGACAGGAAATAGTTTATAAATCCATGTTGGCGTGTAATGGACACCCTTCTACTTTGCTGGGGGTCATTTGCATAAACTGCACCGAAACGAAATGCCAACTTGTCCTTCCATTTAATTTTTAACGACTTTCAATTTCTGTTTTTCTGGCATTTGTTGTATTCAGAACAACCTAAGATATGTGCATTTGTTGTTGATTTTAATTAAATTAAAGACAGAAATGAAATAATTGATTAAATATTGTGATTATGAACTATAAATGTGCATATCCGATACATTGAGGCATGCCTTTGATCTCAAAATGGTTGACCCAGATATTTCATCCCTTTTCAAATCAGAAGTATTTCAGTGTCTTAACAAAAATGTTACATCTAATCATATATAAGGGGAACTGAATGAAAGCCGTGATAATTAAATGTAAGTGAACATAATGAAAGTGTGTCACTACAGATGAAAGTAAACAAAATTAGCTCACCTATCCATTAGCACTTTAGACAAAGAATAGAGGTGATGATCCTATGAAACTTCAGCGACACAAATAACATATATCTCTCGCAATATCTCACCTTATCAGGTGTCTATAGATGCAGAAATTATTAATTGTAAAACATGTGCACATGTGGGTAAATACTCCCCCTTTAAAGTGATTTAAAACGAGTAATTTGGAGGCCGTAACAAACCGGTGCTCTCCGATAGGCTATCCAAGCCGAATATAATCTCGCACAATCTCGGAGGACACATTTTTTATTTAATATCCTTCTAAATTTTATTTTTACATACAATTTGAATGCAAATAACAAACTGAAATGAATTAAATAAATATAATGTTATTTTAACTTTTTTTATTTTTAGATTGCGTTCGAATACGACTTGAGAACGCACTATTTCCCGCCATTTTAACTTCCTATAAAATGCGTTGCACTCAAATTCTTTTATCACATTGCTAACATGTGATACAATTTTAACAATCTTCCCCGGGTTATTTTTTTCATTTTTATTTAGATTCACATACGTATTTGTTAATCTATGTATATGATGGTCATGAATGTAAGTAATTGCGTAACAAAAACAGTTTTTTTAAAGTTTTAAAAAATGGATCATTGTGGATGATTATCACGGATCAGCAAAGTTGGGCTAACTAACCTTTCACTAGACAGCTGGTTTTCATGGATTGTGTAGATTTTCAGCGCCTTCGTTGAGTTTTCAATTTAAAGAATTTTACAATTAGTATTTGGTTCAACTTACTAAATTCTAGTAATACTTGAAGATCATAAGTAGGTTGTCTTAAATTCTACTGGTTTTTTTTTATAGATACACCAATGAATAAAAGGAGTCGTAGTAAATCAACGACAGAATAAGCGGCATATAAGACATATAAAGAAATTCAATTGATTTACAGTTTCAACAATTTACAGATGTCTTTACAATATGATAATATGGGACTATTATAGTATTTTTTTAGTATAATAGTCCACCAAGGTACAAAATGTCATTTTCTAAATCGTCCAGGGTTTTAAAAAGTCTAAAAGAAAAACTAATCAAAATAAACAATAATTATTTAATGTTAGAGACAAAAAATAGATTGTGAAACACGAGGATACGTATTTGTCAAATGGATATGTATGAATATTCCTTAATTTATAGGAAATCTTATTTGAATGAAGCATAATATTGAGATACGGTTTTCACTATATACCCGTTATCGTCCGTGGAGTAGGCGTACAATTTTTTCTTCGTAATCGGTCCTTCCAAAAAATAGTTAATAAATTAATGAAGGTGTGTTAATCTATGTATATGATGGTCATGAATGTAAGTAATTGCGTAACAAAAACAGTGGCGTAGCGTCACCCTTATCAAGTTCCAGTGAGGCAAACAAACAATCACTGCGCAAACAATTTGCAGCTTACGACCCAAGGCCTCAACATAGTTCATGGACCGCGATGCTGATAATGATTGGGAGTAATTGATTAAAGGTGGAAAAAAATTCGTAAAAGAGTTTTCCAAATTTAAAAATACAAAAAGGCGAATTTCAAATGAAAGATTAATTTTTTGATTGGTGTAGGTGTGAGCCAAAATTTGTTCCTGTGAAAAAAGTTCCAGTGGAACTAATATCACAGGAAATATGTTCTGGGAGAACTTTTTTCACAGATAATTTCTATATAATTTGTTCCATCTCTATAAAATAAGTTCCACACTTTACCTGGTGAAATAAGTTCTGGGTTTGTGAAATTTGTTCCTTACCTAGTGAAATAAGTTCCGGGTTTGTGAGATTTGTTCCTTACCTGGTGAAATAAGTTCTGGGTTTGTGAGATTTGTTCCCCACCTGGTGAAATAAGTTCCTTGTCTGTGAAATATGTTCCACTGGTTAAACAAGTTATCTTATATACTGAGCAGTGAGTTTCAATTCATCATTCAAGTGCATTATAAAAACATGTATTATATTGATAATGTAATAAAATAAAAGTGTAAACATCAAATTTGGATCCTGTGGAGTATGTAGTATGTTTAATAAAATACTACATAAAAATACCAAAATGACACTTATGAGCCAGAAAAGAGTAGAATAAGAAAAATAATTCCGAAAAAAGTATAGTTAAAGATGAACATGTGTACTAATTTGAAAAGGCCAAAGTGACTGATCAGTTATTTTAAAAGACATAAAGAAACAAAAGACACACTCTTTTGAAACTGTGCGATGACGTAAGTACATGTATGACAGTTAACAGGAAACAAGGAGGAATACCATATAAAACATGAATACAAATTATGATACATTACCATCGCTTTTATTTCTTATCGTCATCATATAGTTACAGTCATGCCTTCAATTGCAAATGTACCCCCATGCAAGCACAGTACAGCATCCAGCTTGCATTATAATTTAAGTGTAACAAGAAAATATTTAACTGTGCAATATGTTGCAATGGTACTTATTTTCTGTGAAATAGGTTTGAGCGGAACTTATATTCATTGATTTCTATGAAATATGTTCGTTAAAAACTAATATCACAGGAACTTATTTCACTTTTTTAAAAGTTTTAATATTGGAACAAAATTCATGGAGCTGTGATTTTTGTTCTGGAACTTATTTCACATTTGGTCAAAAAATTAGTTCCGGAACAAATTTTACAGTGCTGGAACTTATTTTCTGTAATATAAATTCCGGTGGAACATATTTCCTATGAAAGTTGTTCCGGTGGAACAAATGTCACGCCGGAACAAATTTTTTGTTACATAGGCCTAACGTCTAAAGGCCAATATCTTATGCATGTTGAGGATAAGAACAAATCAAATATAGTTCATTGTGCAGGTTCTGCAAAATAGGTCGGTCACGATGAAGGACGGGAAGTTTTGACTCACATGATGCTGTCAGAACCTCAAAGTACACCGTGACATGAAGCTGTTATATCTATCCCATTGAGTTGGACAAAAAGCCATGATACCACACACCAGGTTAGGTCTACTGCATATCTTGGCTCATACCAAAATATTGAATATGAGGGTCGGTTTAAGCAGCAACTTTCCATCGCCACATCAGTGGCATATGAAGTGCTAATCTTCCAGTTAATGTATACGGTATTCCAGGCTTTGTATGTTACGTCATGATTTTCTTGTAAGATGGTTTTTGGCAACCTATTGCTTACAAGGAAGCTGTGGAACCAAGGTTTCTGAACGTCATCTCTCCGAAAAGTTTACGGGCGCCCGTGATTATGAGTTGGTCCATCGCTTTGGAAAATTTGTATCGCGAATGGCACGTCGTGGCCACAATCCCGGCCCTTTTTTTCTTTCATGATATAACCGAAGGCGACTTATCGCCGGATTTTTTCAAGCTTATCACGAGCAACACGGTAGGTGTAACACTTGAAGAGTAGGAAATGTTTACCCTTTTTGAGCACCTGAGGTCCATCCCGAATTTTTAGAAAGACTAGCACGCGAGTTGCGATCGATCTAAATTCTAATAAGATTGAAAAAAAATTTTTATAGAATAATTATGAAGCTATACGATAATTTTTATTTTTAGTTCATTTTGTCAAAAAAACCAATGTAAGCTATTATCGTTACTTGTCTTTGTAGTTCGCCTGTCCAGAACTAACAAAAAATATCCACCGAAACTAATACGGATCTTTTCATGTAAAATGTTTTATTCAGCAGGACCGGACCCAAGGGCAATGAGGGAGGTTTGGTCCAGTTCACTTTTTGGTTGATTTTTTTTTTATGTACGTACATTCTTGTTTGTTTTGACTTTCGAACCTCCCTCCAAGTTCACGGTACTGGAATTTAGCATTTCAAATTCGTATACCACAACTTCTGTTCACAATGTTGTTAAATCTACAATAGTTAATGAAAGATACAAAAATAAAGAAATAAGTAGTGTGTTTTAATTAATGAGAAATTATCCCAAAACTGAATTATGACTTTTCGTCTGTATAAAAATATGGAGATGTGGTATGATTGACAATGAAATAACTATCCACAAGAGTTCACATGACGAAGATACAATCTATTATATTGGGTCACCGTAACGCCTTCAACAATGAGAAAAACCCATACCGTATAGTCGGCTATAAAAGCCGGCTCCGACATGAAAAATGTGAAACAATAATTATTGTGACTGTTTTGTCCTGTGATCTGTTCTGCGTTCTGTTGGCTTCCTCTATCTTCTCGTCAGTTTGAGTCTTTTTGTGAGCATTGTTGCAAAAGTATCACATAATACCTCTCTTTTTTTATCTTTCACATCTTAGCTGTAGCTGGGACTATTATACTAAATATAGTATAACAGTCCCAGGCTGTAGTCATTTCTAAGAAATAATTAAAAAATTGTCTCAATTTCAGGATTATAGATATAAGAAGATGTGGTATGAGTGCCAATGAGACAACTCTCCATCCAAGTCAAAATTTATAAAAGTAAACCATTATAGGTTAGTATGGTTATACAAAACCAGAGACATATACGTCTCTATACAAAACGGGATGAATATTCTCCTGCCACTTCTCCAATACAATTATCGATTGTACTTTTGTTTAAAGTATGATAGTTATATACAAATCAAACGTCTCTTAATGCGGGACAGTTATTGAGTATGACGAGGAAGATCCTCTGTTTGTGATGGGTGAAGTCCAACGGACAGTTTGGTTTCACATTATATTTCTTGAATTTAATGTCTATTAGGTTGAAGTGTGCATGTTATAATTACCATACGTTCATTTTCTGGCGTCTATTCTTGGTGCTTCCTCTTTATAAAAAAAATGTTGTTTTATATACCTAATACTACTATACAATTGTATTTATGTAATAGATAAGTCCTGGTGAAATGTGTCCAGGCGGACATACAGATTTTACTAGCATTTTAGTCAGATGTCAGTAATTAATGCCCTTATTTATTCTACATAGGATAGAGGTATGGGGGGTTGAGATCTCACAAAACATGTTTAACCCCGCCGCATTTTTGCGCCTGTCCCAAGTCAGGAACCTCTGGCCTTTGTTGGTCTTGTATGTTTTTTTTTAATTTTGGTTCATTTATATGTTTCGGAGTTGAGTGTGACATCCATTTTCTCTGAACTAGTATACATTTTTGTCTAGGGGCCAGCTAAAGCACGCCTCCGGTGCGGGATTTTCTCGCTGTGTTGAAGACCCATTGGTTGTTTTTTGCTCTTTGGTCGGGTTGTTGTCTCTTTCACACAGTCTCCGTTTCCATTCTCTGTTTTATTAGACAAATTTTCCTAGGTTTTCTCGTCCATGTCCTTAATATTCATAAGTAAAAATGTCCATGTCCTTTACTTTATTTCACTATGAAAATTCTTTGTACTTAAAGGAATTCATTACATGTAAACAGTGAAATGTTTTGTAGTTATGTTTCAATATTTTTAATCGTTGTTATACATAATCTTTCCTTATTTTATTAAAATCTAGGACTATTATACTACTATCTTAATACAGTGTCCTCATTAAAATATGGGATTTTACACCGGACTTGTTTTCCTGGAAAAATTAAATCATAGACTTTTATCATGTTTACAACTATAGAAACACTTTTGTTACTCTTTTGAAATTTGAATTAATATTAGAAAATGTCAAAAGAATTGAAATTTTATAGGAAAATTTTTTCTTAAAAAAATTGATTTCACAGACTTTCATAACTAGGAATTTAGATTTTCCATTATTCAAATATTTAGATTTTTATGATTTAGTCATTTTCAGAAGCGTTTAAGACAAATTTGAAAATTTCCTTTGACAATAAGTGCCAGACATAGATTACTAGCTACACACTTATTTTCCTAGGAAAATATATCCTGGGACTTACTTTTCTAGTAAAATTATGGTCATGGACTTGAATGGGGAAAATATCTACTAGCGGACATAACTTACTGTTACATTTACACATATTGTAGTCTCGGTGGTATAAAAATAAGGAAATGTGGTATGATTGCCAACGAGACAACTATCCACCAAAGTTCAAATGAAGTGGGTGTAAGAAATAATAGGCAACCGTACTTAAAATTCACAGAGAAAACTAACGGCATAATTTATAACAAAACAATTTACGAAAAATAAATATGACAGACATGATAAGTCAACGACAACCACTGAACTTTGGGACAGGCACAATTCGCTACTTGGAAGATCTCTCTTTTCCAAGTATTTCAATGATGACTTTATAGCAACGTTTTCTGATAGAATTAAGTCCCAACGTAATAGTATTTGTCCATCTTTGTTTGCTGGGACAATATACATGTATAGTCCCAGGTGTTGCTTGTGTCTTTTTTCGTGGAAACCCGAGTTGGTTTTTAGAACACCAATGTTGACAAACTGAAACGACTGGTTTCCTGTGTAATTAATACCGTTAGCTCGTTGAGAGTAACAAAATACCAGTCATAAAGAAACAAGACAGAATGGCAGACATAAAAGCATTGGAACATCCAACTTTAAAAGTTAGTTTTATTAAGATGTTTTGTTGTATATTTCAAGAAAGATTTAGTGACAGTCACAGTTCTATTCACATTTTTCTGTAATAAGGAGTAGGATCACGAACGGCTAGAACTGGCCCTTAGATTTTAATGGTTTTTTAATCAGGCCAAACTACTTCAACTACTACTTCCAATTTCACATTGAAATAGTTGTGATTTTATTATTTACTAAACATTTTTTTTGTGGCACTTAATTTACAAATTAACCTCGTAAATATACATTATTCGTGATGTAACATCAAATTGGGTCCAGTTTTCCATTATTTATATCAGTTTTTAGCATCAAGATTTTTTTTGTGTCTATAGGGATTCAATACTTACTGTGGCACCTTTTGATTACAGAACATTTTAGATTGCAGATTGTGGCTTATGTGTTTCTAAAGCATACAGGACCAGAAAATGTACAAAAATTGAAATCATCATATTTTGAAACTAATAAAAATGAATATATCTTCAAAATTGTGCTGAATTTGAAGTGTTTCCTGCAGCTTTTGAAAAGGGCAGGATAATTTTTTTCTCAGAGGGCACTCTAAGCGCGATTGGCTACACTTTAAGGGCACCATTTGTGCGGAGGACTACACTTTTAGGGCACTCTTTACATAGATATAAAGGCACTGTAATGGATAGGGATTTAATCGAATACATCATGGTTTCATATTTATTTGTAAGAAATAAAGATATGTAGTGTATATTAGGTTGTTAACTTAATTCCTTTTTGTAATAAAATTATCACTTCTAGACTCAGCTAATAGCATCTTGGTCTTGTTCATTGTGCAACTGCCTCATTTCAATCAATAATTTCAGTTATAAACTTTGATACTGGATCACTGAGACTTATTGTCTAAGTACATGTATGTGTTGTGAAAGTGGACTTTGTATGACCAAGAGCATATGCAATGCATTGCTTTTTAGATGCACAAAATAAGTGCCAAATACCTTTTGGATCTTGCATGTTTATACCTTGGCTCACAACTGTACAAATAGTTTTAGAATTATATTCAAAGATTTGTATAGCAAAATTTACTATACATATTCTTCTGCTTTTCATCTTTTTCTACCTGTGTTTGTGTTTTTTTTATTGAAACGTTGTTGATTATTAATTTTTTTCGTACTATTCAAAACTATATCAGCTATATTCTTAACTTTAATTTTATTAAGATAACAACCGTATGAAAGCCGATTTAAATTCACAACCAATTTGACGTCTCGACCGACCAAATAGCATAAATAGAAAATATAAACAAACATCATATTGTTTACTTAATCAGTGGTGATGTCAAATGATCGCCTGGTTCCCCTTTAAATTGTCTACATTTTAAATTCGTAGAGGTACAAATCGATGTTGCCCTATTAGATTTGAGCATGGATCGTATTTGTACTCTGTCGCTTCATAACTGTTATGAATTATAATGAAATTCAATAAAATGTTGGCCATTAAAATTTTGATTACGTTCTAAGGGAAATAATTTCGAAATGGTCTTGCTAAAAGATGAATTGCAGAACCGATATTAAATTACGGTGGGGCGTTCTAAAATACAACGGAAAAGGGACATGGTCCCAAATATTTTCCTAAAAAGGGCAGGGTGTCAAGAAAACACGGCAGGGCACCATACCACGCCATATCCTTCTGCAGGAAACACTACTTTGGCGTGTAGTAATGTACTGTTACAAAGATATTTGTTTTACCTAGCATGAAGGCGTTTGATATAGACCCATTAAAGAACCAAATTGTGGCTTTTTTGAAATTTTTATGATACAGTTGAAATTGAAGGCAATATTTTGCCTAAAGTGAACCTTGTCCTTTACAAAATGTGACAACCTAAAAACACACTCATATACCAGTGGAAAAAAATGAAAAATTACAGAACAACCACTTAAAAAGTTACTTATTTAAATGTTTCAGTTCCTTATCATTACAGTAAAAGAATCGAAGTAAACGAAATCTGCATGTAATAAATACTACAAAAAATATATGATGGAATGTTCAGAGATACTGTTAACTTTTAAGTAGATATAAGAAGATGTGGTATGAGTGCCAATGAGACAACTCTCCATCCAAGTCACAATTTGTAAAAGTAAACCATTATAGGTTGGAGTACGGCCTTCAACACAGAGCCTTGGCTCACACCGAACAGCAAGCTATAAAGGGCCCCAAAAAGGACTAGTGTAAAACCATTCAAACAGCAAAACCAACAGTCTAATCTATATAAAAAATGAGAAACAAGAAACACTTATAAACCACATCAACAAACGACAACCACTGAAAATCAGGTTCCTGACTTAGGACAGGTGCAAACAAATGCAGCGGGTTTAAACGTTTTAATAGGCGATAACCTTCACCCTAGCCTGAAACAATAGTGTAACATCACAACATAGAAAGACACACTATAAAATATCAATTGAAATGGCTTAACTCAATCAAAAGACATATTAACTAAAACAAGTGAACATACACTGAACAAATAAATTTGATCTATGACACAATGTAAATACGAAATTAATAAAACGAGGGGGTTAGATGTAAAATAATATCAGAAAAACAACCATAACCTTGGACAAAATGCCGCCAAATAAAATAACGTACACAGGTAAATAAAAATAATTTTGTTGCAAAGTATACATGGAGTACGGAAATATTTTTACAAAATAAATAATTTTGTTGTTCATAGTACGAGAAAGGAAGTGAAAATTAAATATTAGATAACTAAAATGCATTACAAATTGTATCAACAGGTCAAATTAACACAAAAGTACGATTTGAGAGTACTCACAGTTACTGAAAGCTAGTTAAAAGCCAAAAACAATTAATTATAAAAAATCATGCATCAGAGACTAAAATCAACTAAAACACATCCCAGGGATTTAGAGTTTTAATGTCATGCACAGTCAAAGAAGAAATGACTTGTGCAATGCCAAAATAAAAATATCGGCAGGCAGTAGGATAGTTAGGAGTTAATCTCTTAATAAATATGTATAATATTATATATAGGTAGAGTAATCTCTATATAGAAGGAAATGGCAAATATGGCTGTGTTTACACCACAAAATTACTCTGAGTACAGACAAACCTGTAGGGGAAGCAGACAACTAGCCCCAATGCAATATCGCCCCAGACAATATCGCCCCAATGCAAAATCACTCCACTTTACCACCAACTCGCCCCACTTTCTACCAAATCACCCCACTCTTGTTTACCAACTCGCCCCACTCATGAAAAAGGGTGAAATACCGTTGAGGTTAGACCCGCCAACTCACCCACTTACAGTCAGAGCTCAAACACATACAAGTCTAAACATGTTTTGACTCCTATAAGTCAAAAAATGTAAATATCAAGAAATCAAATTTTGACTTGTTTCTGTTTTGCCCTAAATGTTCATATACAGAGTTTTTTGTTAAATTTGCCGCTTTTTGACGCAATCTACGATCCCACGATTTTTAACAAATGACTTATAAAAAAGAGTAAAGTCTCAATGAATAAAGGTCTGCCAACTGGCCCCACTTATGAAAAAGAGTAAAATCCCAATGAATAAAGGTCTGCCAACTGGCCCCGGCCACTTATGAAAAATAGTAAAATCCCGTTAGATAATGTTCTACCAACTCGCACCACTTATGACAAAGGGTAAAATCCCGATGAATAAAGGTCTGTCAACTCGTCCCACTAAAGAAAAAAAGTTAAAATAGGGATGAATAAAGGTCTGCCAACTCGCCTCACTAATGACCAAAAAAGAAAAAAAAAGAGTTAAACCATACTGCATTAAGGACTACCAACTCGCCCCGTTATGAAAAGGATATAGTCCCATTTATTAAAGGTCTGCCAACTCGCCCCACTAATGAAAAAAAGAATGAAACTTTATTGAATTAATTAAAAGGCCTACAAACTTGCCCCACTCAAGAATTTAGAATTTTCATAAGTGGGGCGAGTTGGCAGGACTTAATTTAAAATTTCGTCCGAAGACATTTGGTTTCCAGACAATAACTTTAGTATATGTGAATAGAAATCTATGAAATTTAAATACAAGGTTTATAACCACAAAAGGACAATTACTTAAAAGTGCAATGTTATGTTTGGATTACCTCCCTCACACTGCTTTTAAATTATGTTTAAAGAAATATTGTATTTTCTTGAGGTGATTAGCTGTCGATTTATTTTTAGAAGTTACTATTAAAAATGCTGATTAAGGAATATTAATTTTAGCCATGATTATGTTTGTCATTTTCTATTTTAAGACTTTTATGATGTATTTAAATGGGTAATTATGGTTGCAAACCCCATTGGAAATTTGAATTGAGATTATGACCATATCTTGAGGGAAAGATTTTTTTTTTTTTTTTAAAAAGGAGGGGGAGGTGAAAAAAAATTATGGGGGGGGGGGGACATTTTTTTCTCATTTCAGATTTCAGAGATTAAAAAGAAAATTTCTTCAAATATTTTTTTTTTTTGCAAAAAAAGGGAGGGGGTAAAAAAAAAATTTTTTTTTGGGGGGGTCAATTCGCAACAGCAAAGTGTATTGCACAAAAGCAAAAAATAGAATATAAATTCAAATCATATAACCAATTCTAAGTTCTTTGACTACAGTTATTCTGTGTCAGAAACCTATTATGTATCAAATATTTAATTACAATCCAAATTCATACCTGTATCAAGCGCGAATATTGTGTCCATTTTAGCCCCAACTGTTCAGGGTTGGACCTCTGCGGTCGTATCCAGCTGCGTTTGGCTAAGCAATTTATTTCATAAGTGGGGCAAGTTTGCAGTCAGGATTAAAAAGTTCTCTTCATAAGTGGTAGCCCTCATTCAGTAGGATTCAATTATTTTTTCAGAAGTGGGGCAAGTTGGCAGACCTTTATTCATCGGGATTAAACAACTTTTCGAAAGTGGACGAGTGGCCTGGTAGGCCTAAAATCATCGGGATTAAACTACATTTCATAGGAAGGGCAATTTGGTAGGCCAAAATTAAGCAGGATTAAACTATTTTTCATAAGGGGCGAGTTGGTTAACATGAATGGGGCGAATGGGAAAAAGTGGGGTTGAGTTGGTAGAAAGTAGGGGCGAGTTGTTATGAATTCTTACTGGTTCAGTATTTTTGGTGTATCCAGATATGCTCATTGCATTCTGTGTACTGTTTACAGCTCATAATCATGAATTATATCAACACTTATGATCTCATGATTTTACCTTCCACTGATAAATTAAAGCAATTTTTACCCTTCATTTCTAAAAATATTTTAAAGTCTTCTTTGAAAACTGCAGTTATCTTTCTTTGTGCATAATGGTAGTTGAATCAACTACAACCAATGCTTTATACAATGCAATATTCAATTTTACTTCCTACTGATAAATTAAAGCAATCTTTACCATTCAGTGCTTACAAGCACTTTGATTACTCTTCTAGAGATTTGTAATTTAGGTAGAGTCTCTTTTACCATTCTTCAGTTATGTCCCTTTACATCTTTATATGATATGCAAGCTGGGGCATCATCTGTGTCCATGTCCAGTCCACATTTATTTTAAACATCCTTCTGATGAACCTGTCCTTAAAACATGAACATGCAGGTTGGCATGTATCCTTTTTGTGATACTGTGTCCCATCTGATTTGGCTGCAGATAAGAATATTTTGTTTAGGCTCTTGCTTTTCACCACAAAGTGATTCTTATCATGCTTGAATTGGTATGCCTGAATTTATGTGAATTGAAATATTGTATTTAATAATGAGAAAATGAGGAAACTTGATAATTAGACTTAACAAGTGTAATGAACAATACTTGCCTTGTAATTTGAACATAATGCAATTCAAGACAAACTTATTTTTGATCAAAGAAAAATATACTACTACCGGTATATGTTAGTCATCAAAAGGAGTAAAAGTCCCCCCCCCCCCCCCAGCCCCCTGAAAAAAAACAAACAAAATAACACACCAAAGATAGCAATCAACAAAGCAAAGAAGTGAAGTAAGAAAACCAAACAATAATGTGGTATATTTCATCTTTAAATCTATATAAATGTAATACATTTGCATGAAATGATTTTTTGTAGGTTCCATATGAAATATTGAATAAGAAGTTTCGTTCAGCACAGAAGACAATTGACAGAGAAATCTCACATGTACATACAGCTAGCAGTGACATTGAGTCCTGTCTGGAGGAGAAAAAGAAAATAAAGGATGTGTCCAGAGTAATTGATAATATGGTAGAAAAACTTTGTCTTTTGAAAAGAAAGGTAAAAATTTAGGTTTTATATGAATAAACAGATAATTTGGAGGGAACGTCAATGTGAAAGCAACCCAAAAATAAGTTCACAAAAATATGACAAACTAAATAATTCAATGCAAATGTCTCCATCCATTGAAATTAGTCATATATTGGGTGTTTGCCTACACCATCTGGATTAAACCAAATGGCCTTATGTCATTTATAGATGACTTTAATAAATCTAGTGAAAGTTAGGGATTGGGGGAAGAGAGGGCCAATGGGCAATTGTCCCATTTTCAAATGTATGTAGAAAATGCCCAATATAAACAAGTGAAACTCGGCATAGAACTATGAGAAAAGTTAATTGAAAATGAAGAATTCTTCAAAAATTGCTGAGATTGGTACATTTCTTATTAGATTTTTAGATTAGATTGAAGTAAAACTTATTACTTTGGCACAACATTTTTGAAATATGTGCCACTAGTACAAGTTTGTTGAGTGTTACTGATTTACTACATATGACAGTTCACCAATATGAAGCTGGTAACTGGACAGATTATGTTAACATCTACAACTCTTTCAATATCAGAAAGTTAATATTGGATTGGCATGGTTTAAAAAAACATTTATATTATTTTACTTATTTTTCCGAGGCTTTGTCACCAATTAATTTACAACTTGTATTTGTCTGGAAATCGTAAGATACTGTCATTATTTTATTTCTGATAAAAAAAAAAGCAGTTGAGACTGGCAATTGGCAATTTAAAAAAAATAGGAGCTTGTAACAAATGATGCCTTTGTGATTTTTTTTTATTTAAAACAAGTTTATTGCAGTATATTCTGTTACAAAAAATGTCCATGTCCACATCATCCAATAGGGCATCTCTGTTTGATTAGTTTTCTTAACAAACAGGGAAATTGTTTTTGAACATAATTTCATAATTTAAAATTATATAGCAGTTTTTGAGATTATTTATGATTGGTTAAAGTCATAATTATTTTTGGAAGATCTAAAATCTCACAGTTCTGATGTAGAAAATAATTTCATTAGTGTAACTGTCAGACAAGGTTTCACTGAAGCACATATGTGACATTTTCCAATTGTTGCCTCCCAAAAAATATATGACAGGCATGATAGCTTAGGATACATAGTTTATTTTGTAATTAAATATTTAGAAAACCTTTTTTTTATGTCATAGGCTGATGAGAGTATAAATGAAGAACTTGAAGCAGCCAGAGTTATAAAGAGACGAGTAGATCACCTTAAAGAAGCTGAATTACTTCATCCTCACACTAAACCTTTGTGGCACAAAAAAAGATTAGACAGAATGCTGGTGGAATACTTTCTTAGAGCTGGGTTTTACAACACAGCTATCAAACTGGCTCAGCAGTCAGAAATAGAGGTAATGGGATTATGCATGTACCTATATGTCAAATGATCTGCAGGTGTGACGTCATTGTTGATGACCATTTTTGATTATGGATTTTATTGGGCAATCACATTTGTGGCTGGGCTTATAAATTACACCTGTCCATATGCAGCTTTTTAGGGTCTGTATCTAATACCTACATAGCAATAGAGAAGAAATGTACTGTGAGCATCTTCAATTTAAAGCATTAAAGTAAATACCAGAATAATTATGCTCAATTAGCAAGTCAAATTCACAGAATATTTTTTAAAAGCAATAGGTATTGTGTTTTATAGTGTCTTTCAGCACATTAGTCAAACTGTTTTGTGTACTTTTTTTTTTTACAGATTTAACTGTTTACTCGTGTACATGTAAGGGAAATATTTTTCAGTTTGTAGATTCAGCAAATTTTTTTTAGTTAGAGAAATTCTGAAATAACTTTGATTTTAGGTGCAATTTGGTGCCATTTACTTACAGTACTTTTAAATATTGGATGAAGGATTTTCCGCTTTTGAATCATGTCAATTTTGTTCTAATACCGCTATTTGTCATGGTGGCAGGCCAGAGTTATTCATAGTCGCAGCTCAAAATGTCATGGTCATTGGTGGAATAGACATGATTGTAAACTGCCCTGATATGAAGTGGCCAGTGGCAGAAAGTGAAATGTCACTATAAAACATCATGATAGTTTATATTGCTACTACATTGTACCACCATATATATAGTGGGAAACCCTAAATTCACTTTGTAATGTCTCTTCCTTCACCTTTATAAAAAATATTATATATTTAGGTCATTTGTATATAGGGAAAAAAATGATATACATTCATTCATGTGAGAGTTAGTTACGACACTGTTAACTACAATGTTATTTCCTGGAAATGGAAAAATCTTGTGAATATTTGATATTTGTTTCAGGATTTGACAAATATTGAGCTTTTCCTGACTTCCAAAAAGATAGAAGAATCTTTACAAAGGAAAGAAGTTGTACCTTGTCTTACATGGTGTTATGAAAATAAAAACAAATTGAGGAAAATGAAAGTAAGATTTCATAAATTCCTTTATAGATTTGTAAATGCAATTCAGGTCCTCAAATCATGGTTTACATTTTTTATACGACCGCAAACAAATTTTTGTGGTCATATATTGGTATGACGTTGGCGTTGGCGCCAAAGACACATTAGTTTTCGCACTCTAACTTTAGTTTAAGTGAATGGATCTCTATGAAATTTTACCATAAGGTTCAATACCACAAAAGGAAGGTGGGGATTGATTTTGGGGGTTATGGTACAAAAGTTAAGGAATTAACGGTCAAAAAGGGGCCAAAAATAAGCATTTTTGTAACTTCCAGACATAACTTGTGTGTAAGTGTATGGATCTCTCTGACATTGTACCACAAGGTTCCATATCACAAAGGGAATGCTGGGATTGATTTTGGGGGTAATTACCTCCAAATTTTAGGAATTAGGGGCCAAAAAGGGGCAAAAAGCAAGCATTTTTCTAGTTTCATGACACTAACTTGTGTGTAAGTGTATGGATCTCTCTGACATTGTATCACAAGGTTCCATATTACAAAGGGAATGCTGGGATTGATTTTGGGGGTAATTGCCCTAAAAGTTTAGGAATGAGGGGCCAAAAAGGGGCAAAAAACAAGCATTTTTCTAGTTTCAGGACAATAACTTGTGTGTAAGTGTATGGATCTTTATGAAATTGTACTGCAAGGTTCCATATCACAAAGGGAATGCTGGGTTTGAGTTTGGGGGTAATTGCCCTAAACGTTTAGGAATTTGGGGCCAAAAAGGGGCAAAAAAACTAGCATTTTTCTAGTTTCCAGACAATAACTTGTGTTCAAGTGTATGGATCTCTCTGAAATTGTACTGCAAGGTACCATACCACAAAGGGAAGGCTGGGATTGAGTTTGGGGGTGATGAATCATAAGGGGGTTCAAAAAATTTGGGGGGGGGGGTTTTTCATTTTTTTTCTTTAAAATTTTCCATTTTAAATTGGTTATTTCTGATTTATATATAAAAGCAAATAATAATGATATGGTTTGAATAGGTAAATTAAAAAATTTTAAGCTCTTAGACCACTTTCATTCTGTGTCAGAAACCTATGCTGTGTCAAATATTTAATTACAATCCAAATTCAGTGCTGTATCAAGCTTGAATGTTGTGTCCATACTTGCCCCAACTGTTCAGGGTTCGACCTCTGCGGTCGTATCAAGCTGCGCCCCAGCGGAGCATTTTATTATACAATTATTCTGTAACAATATTGGAAATAAATTGTATTTGTAGTGAAAAAAAAAACAATATGCCAACATGTTTGCTAGGAAATGGGGAGGTTAAATCATATGCATCATGTAGCCAATTAAAATGTATAATTAAGAACACATTTTCCATTGGCTTTAGCAAAACCACAAAATCAAATATCAATGAAAATACTATTTTCCTCAATATAAATTGGTACCCACAAAAATAAATGAATCCATAGTATGCAGATTTAAATGAACCAAGCATTTTGCTACCTGTTTGCTTTTAATAGTATTGCTGGGTTCAAAATTATGGTATTATTCATGTTTTTAACCAAATTTTCTTGTTAAAAGGTATTTTAAAAGACTATTTCCTTCTGGAAGACATCTGTCACACATTTGGACCAAAATGATATTGTAACCTTTGTGAGACACACATCCTTGCAAAAAAAAGTATGTTTATCCTAACTTAGCAGTGTTATCTGAACAAAATCCATCAACTTTTAGATTTCCATTTATATCAAGGTGTGCAGTAATGACCTCACAATAACAAAGCCATTTACATATTGTTCCAAAACTTATTTATTTCTTAATAATCTTTTTGTTTCCTTTTTTGTTTATTTGCAGAGTACCTTAGAATTTAAACTGAGAAAACAAGAGTTTATAGAACACATAAGAAACAGCAGATGTTTAGAGGCAGTAAAGTAAGTTAAGATATTGCGTTGGATAAAAACCGCAAATTTTATACGTGTTCATGCAAAACAAATTTCTTGGTAGAGGGGTCTAAATACAGCACAAACAACATTTTCCAAAAGATTCAAAAAAGTGAAAAAGTATATTTTAACAATTCGCATTTGACTAGCAGGTCGAACAATGGATGTTCTCAAACCCTGCTGACTGCCATGGCGATTGCCAAATAAACAGATCACCAGATGTAACAAAATGGATCTTAATTATTAATTTAATACCAAACAGAAAACAATAAACTTGCGGAAAAGATGGTATACCGCAAACATGAGGTGCAAAAATTTGTACACCATATCCGGATTTCGACAATTAATGTCACTTCAGTGATGTTAGGAATCGAAACGGTATTTGGAAGGCCATATAATTGGCCTCAATTAAGGATAGACTGTTGAATTTTGAAGAGTAGAAATAGAATGAACGGATTATATAAACCCGAAGGCAAATATAATACTAGCCCAAACGAAAAAATATAAACAAGTCTAAATATATATATATCTATTTACATGATTGACATATGGTTATCCTGACAAATGTCTTCTGTAAGTAAATGATTATTGATGAGATTTACTGAGAATAAATCTAGATCTCTAACTATATCAACCCTAATATCCAATATCTTTAAGAGGGCTATAATCGCGAACAGATATAGGTCTGTAATTTGATACAATGTAAGGCATAGATTCTGTCATGTGTCCTTCACTTCATTATATTTATGAAAATGACAAAATAATGATGAAGGTTACTTACCAGGGTTGGAGTGTGCAATGCATAGCAAGTGATATATGATTTGTGAAACAGTTACTGTTAAATGGGACAAAGGGATAACTTTTGCTAATTTCGTGGTAGAGATAGAATCGTGAAAAATATAACATCACCTGAATTTGATTTGTAAGGAAGATCAGAAGTTTTGTCAATAAAAAAACAAAAATATAACCTCACAAACCTGTTTGCCCCTTGAAATTGCAAAATTTATATTATTATAGAATTCAAAATATAAAACAGTTATATTGTATGTAACAGACAGTCTTGCAAAGGAATATCCTTTTTAGTGAATTATTTGCATAAGACTCAAAAACATGTGACAAACTAGTAAATATATTAAAGTTGATTATTGTTTTAAAAGTAAAACATTACAATAAAATTTGTAAAATAAGCTAATGTACTTTAGATCATTATCAGTACCTATTAAAAGTAGTCGTTTAGCTATTTCATCTGCTTAATCTTTTTTTTTATTTTCTAGACATGCAAGAAAACATTTTTCTGTATTAGAAGATGACCAAAAACTAGCAGAGGTTCAGAGAGTAATGGGTCTATTAGCATTCCCGGGATGTTCTTCCAAATCACCTTACAAAGTGAGTAGCTAGATTTTATCATTCTTCAAGAATACCTTACAAGAGAAATAGGTCTGTTATAACTTATATGTTATTTTTTATTTGGAATGTTGTCAAAAATGAGATTTTCCAGATTACCATACAAATTAAAGTAAATAAAAAAGTTATGGGACTGTTAACATTCCTGGCTTGTTCTTCAATTCATCTTACAAAATAAGTAGCTTCAGGAAAGGGACAGAAAATAAGTAGCTTCAGTTAAGGAACAGTTAACTTTCTGTGTTGTTTTTGTCTCGCCTTGACAGAGTCAAAAAGAAAGATATTGGTATGCTGTTTCTGGCGTTTGCTTCGGCGTCAACAATGTATTAGTTTGTGATTAGGTCAGTTTATGGGGAACCACTATTGATAGGTCAATGGTATTTGGTATGCAGTTGTTTTAGCATTGGCACATCTCATTTCCATGGAGATTAGTTGTCCTTGCCCCCTCAGTCATGGTCTATTGACTTTGAAACTTTTGCATACTTTACATGTATTAGCTTGTGATTAGGTCAGTTTATGGGGAACCACTAGTGGTTAAGTCAATTATAATTGGTATGCAGTTGTATTGACATTGGCACAGATCATTTCCATGGAGTTTGTTTGGCCCTATACCTTCAGACTGGCTTCAGTCATGGTTCATTGACTTTGAATATTTTGCATAACTTACATGTTAAAGTATTGCTATTTTAATTTCAACATTTTCATTTTACTATCAAAATAAAAAAAAGGCGAGACATATCTCTGTGTTCAGAGTGTACTATGTGTAACTATACAAAGTCAACAGATAAATAACAAAACTGTAAGCACTCGTGAGACTTATATCCAAATCTACATTAAAAATGCTATGACAAATAAAACAATAAAATTAAGATACCTTGAAAAAATAATATAATAACAGTTAGTAGCCAAAGTAATGATTCTGTGTCTATTCTTTGGATGTTTCTCAAGGTCACCTTACCAGGTGAGTATATAAGAGTCTGATTAGACTAACAGCTTTCCTTCAAATTTCTGGGATGTTCTTCCTGATCTTTATACAGAGCAAGTATGAGGAAACCAACATCTGATTTTAAAAAGTAAAACCATATATTGATACAAACCTTTTCCCGTAATTTTTAAGATTTCATTATTTTTCACGTTCGGTTATCAGCATTTTTTACAAAAATTCCTGTGTAATAAAAAAATGAGAAATTAAATATCAGTTTCATACAAACTTTTAATTTTTTCTGTTAATATTTCTTTGTGTATGAACCTTGATATTATTTATTCGTTTGCCTCTCGATTATTTTATTTTTTGTTGACGTTGCAATTGAAATTTTCTTCTACAAGTTTATTTAGATATTTTCTTGGACAGGTTTTTTTTTTTTTTTATGACCGCAAAAAAATTTTGTGGTCGTATATTGGTATGACGTTGGCGTCATTGTCGTCGTCGTCGTCATCGTCTGATGACACATTGGTTTTCGCACTCTAACTTTAGTTTAAGTGCATGGATCTCTATGAAATTTTACCCTAAGGTTCAATACCACAAAAGGAAGGTTGGGATTGATTTTGGGGGTTATGGTACCAACAGTTAAGGATTTAGGGGCCAAAAAATAAGCATTTTTGTAACTTCCAGACTAAACTTGTGTGTTAGTGTATGGACCTCTCTGACATTGTACCACAAGGTTCCATATCACAAAGGGAATGCTGGGATTAATTTTGGGGGTAATTGCCTCAAAATTTTAGGAATTAGGGGCCAAAAAAGGGGCAAAAAACAAGCATTTTTCTAGTTTCATGACAATAACTTGTGTGTAAGTGTATGGATCTTTCTGAAATTGTACTACAAGGTTCCATATCACAAAGGGAAAGCTGGAATTGAGTTTGGGGGTAATTGCCCAAAACGTTTAGGAATAAGGGGCCAAAAAGGGGCCAAAAATAAGCATTTTTCTAGTTTCCAGACAATAACTTGTGTTCAAGTGTATGGATCTCTCTGAAATTGTACTGCAAGGTACCATACCACAAAGGGAAGGCTGGGATTTTGGGGGTAATTGCCTCAAAATTTAAGGAATTAGGGGCCAAAAAGGGGAAAAAAACAAGCATTTTTCTAGTTTCAGGACAATAACTTGTGTGTAAGTGTATGGATCTTTATGAAATTGTACTACAAGGTTCCATATCACAAAGGGAAAGCTGGGTTTGAGTTTGTGGGTAATTGCCTGCAACGCTTAGGAATTTGGGGCAAAAAAGGGGCCTAAAAACAAGCATTTTTCTAGTTTCCAGACAATAACTTGTGTTCAAGTGTATGGATCTCTGAAATTGTACTGCAAGGTACCATACCACAAAGGGAAGGCTGGGATTGAGTTTGGGGGTGATTAATCATAAGGGGGTTCAAAAAATTTGGGGGAGGGAATATTTTTCCTTTTTTTTCCTTTTTTTTTCTTTAAAATTTTCCATTTTAAATTGGTTATTTCTGATTTATATATAAAAGCAAATAATAATGATATGGTTTGAATAGGTAAATTAAAAAATTTTAAGTTCTTAGACCACATTCATTCTGTGTCAGAAACCTATGCTGTGTCAAATATTTAATCACAATCCAAATTCAGTGACGTATCAAGCTTGAATGTTGTGTCCATACTTGCCCCAACTGTTCAGGGTTCGACCTCTGCGGTTGTATCAAGCTGCGCCCAGCGGAGCATTTGATTATATTCCCATTTATATGCGGCAAAAAATAAGCTCTTAATTTTGTATTTGAAAGCTGTACTAATGGAACAATTTAAGATAATGTGTAATATGTATATTGTTTGTAATTGCAGGACTTATTGGATGAGAATTCCTGGGCAGACCTTGTGAAACAATTTAGATATGAAAATTTCAAACTCCACCAACTTAATACAGATTCTGTGTTCACGATTACCTTACAAGCAGGTCTTTCAGCATTAAAAACACCGTATCCTTTACACTTTAATAATATCATATAATATCCAAAATAACCCATACAATTGCTGTTTATCTTACTTTCTTCATGAAGAGCAATTACAACCTCATGCCAGTCTTTTAAGTAAAAACAAAGTTTTGTGAATACCCATTCATTTTGGTTAATAATAAAATTCAACAAAACACATCATTAATTTCAGATGGAATTTACGCACACAAAGTATAATTGATATCAAGTAGATTTTGGAAGTAACGACATATATCAGATAAACAATTTATTCATCACTATATTTTTAACAACAGTAGCCAAGATTATGATTGACCCTGACTTAGAGGGTTATTAAAATGTTTGTCTAACCTCCTGATTCATGTTATCTCCTCCTCTTAATAGGGTAACTCATAATCTAAGATGATGTTTTACATAATTCACCTTAACTGAAACCAGAATGTGTTACAAGCAACATGCAATGAGAAAAAGCTCTGACTGTCCAGTCTGTAACTGTCAACTGAATGAACTGGGGAAAGGCTTACCATACTCACATTGTGCTAATTCTAAATTGATATGTGCTATCTCTGGACAAGCTCTCAATGAGCACAATCCACCAATGGCATTACCCAATGGTCATGTTTATGGTTATAATGTAAGTAATTATTGTAAAAAAATAATCATTGTGATTTGGACTTCACAAAAATTAAAACTCTTTTGATTATTTGAAAATATGCAATGCAACTCTTCAAGGAACAATTTAGATAAGTAACTTCCATTCTGTTAAACTATGTTTAGAAAATAGTTTTCACATCCATTGCTCTTCAACTTTCTGTTTACTGATTATTTAAAGTTAGATATCATTAGTAAACCTTAGCTGAAAGTTCAACTTGGTTTTTTATGCCCCTGTCGTAGCGGAGGGGGCATTAAGTTTTACCCTTGTCCGTCTGTACGTCCTCAAATTGGTTTCCGTTCTCAAACTTAAATTTGCCTCAACCAAATGTTATGAATCTTATACATGATGCTTATTACCACAAAACACAGATCAAGTGTGAATTTTGGTGGCGTCACTTTTACCGTTCTAGAGTTATGCCCCTTTTCAAATGGAAAAATTGCTGAATTTTTCGTTTCCATTCTCTAATTTTAGTTTGCCTCAACCAAATGCTATGAAACTTATACACAATGCTTATTACCACAAAACTCAGATCAAGTACGAATTTTATTTCAGACATAAACTTAAAGAAAACTTTTATGTGTGGCTATTGTCAGTAAAATTATACAGGACCTTAAATAATGTCATTCAGATATTAATGACCCTCATTAATCAATTCTGTACTTTTTGCTCTTCATTTATTTTATAAGGCCTGCATGTAAAATGTTTATATATTTCTTAATCCTGAAGACTTGAAAATCTAATACAGAATAAATTTAAAAAAAACTTTGCATATGAATTTTAGAATAATTAATCTGATTTTTTACAGTCGCTGAATGAGATGGCCGATGGTAATGATGGTCGAATTGTTTGTCCACGAACAAAGGAGATATTCCATATAGATGAAACAGAGAAAGTGTTTGTCATGTGATTGTTTGCTCATGAACAAGAGAGATATTCCACAATAAATGAAACAGTCAAAATATTTCTTTTATGATGTGTTTATCGTGACACAGATTCAGTTCACACATTACATTTATTTGTCTTGAGATGTCTGGTGTATAAGGACGTGATATATATGAAATGTAAATGTAATCTAATATGTATTGCATTGTAATCAATTTTTTCTTCATTTAAACCTTTATTTTCATTCAATATATTATATCATTTTGCTTTTGAAGCATTATTTTTTTTTTCATTTTAAGTAACAGACTATAGGAAAACACACGTAGAAAGACTTTATATTTGTATGATTCATAACCAGTGTGAAAGAGTTATAGTCTCAGAATGTCCATTCTAGGTCAAATTTGGTGTTTGATTGCAAACTATGATTGTCAGGTCAGTGTTACATATATATCACTAAACATTCTCATGTGTGAAGCTACAGACAGTGTAACATTTATGAACCTGTGTTGACAGGACGCTAGAGGAAATTCATAACAAAAATGTGCAACACTTAATTGCGAGAATATTGTTACCTGGTACAAGAACGAATCTTAATCTTTTATGAAAAAGTCAGTGTTTTCCTGAAAATTAGTGAAGGATGTTGATTGAAAGAATGGTGGTCATGAATAATAAAGGAAGATGGCTTATAAAGAGTAATAGGGAGCTTCAAATTTAAAAGGATTGGGAATTAAATTAATGGATGGGCACCACCATGCATAAAACCTTTAGGGAAAACACAGTATAAAGTGTAATGGTACAGTTCTTGTAAATTTTAGGGAAATAGTGATTACACAGACCAAATATTTTTTATAAAACACATTTTCTGTTGTTTTGGTGTCTGCAATGTCTTGAAACTATAATTTTATGGAACTATAAGTTTTCCAATTAATGAATGTACATTTATGGTCAACAGTTTATTTACCTAGTGATTTACATCTGAACAATTAGAGAAAAAAAAGTTTTGTGCAGACAGAGTGTTTACTGATTATGTCTAAACTGTTTAATTGCTTGTTTATTTTTGTATAGATTGGTTGCATGTTTATGTATCGCTCATATTTTTTGTTCATTTGAACAAATTATCAGTGTACTCTCTTCATACATGTCCACATCCAACTCACAAGAGACACAGCCATTTTATTTTGTGTGCAGGTGGATAGTCTTAACTTTGTGCAATAAGATGAAAGTGACAGGACCCATTATTCATGCATCAGTCCAGTGACTTTGATTAATTTTATATCTGATGTAAACATTTGTGTTCGACGAGTAATTTCAGTTATCAGATACTAAATCCGTAACCCACTTTCATTCATTAACTCCAAATTCAGTTCTTCAATACCAAATAAGCTGCAAACATATAGCTTAATGTGAGGTTGAATACAATATAACAACTCTTGTCAAAAGGTGACATTTACCTATAAAGTCATGAACTTCATTGAATTCAATTACATCTTACATTTGATCTCAGATATGAAGGAATCTACAACCATATAACTTAGTTTATAGTTTCATCTTGGTGAGAAAAATAGCTTCAATTAAAAGCAATTTAAATAATAAATGGTTACACATATTCAGATTTTCATTGCTCAAAACCAGTTCTTAACTTTTCTCTTTTTGCTTAATTTGTTTTCCAAATGCAATATACTTGTATTTAAAATTTAAAAATTACCTATATGTCATCTACTGACCGAAAGGATTTTAGCAAACCCATCATGTTGGTAGTTTCTTTATTTTCTTGTATGCCAGGTAGTCTGCTGTGAAGAGTTGTAAACAGATTTTGATAGTTTATTTTGTTAGCAGTATTCTTCAATAAATTACCATTATAAAAGTAAGGATTCTACTGAAATATTTAAGACCAGGTAAATTAACTTTATATCATTTCAATACAAAATATGATGTGAAACAAGTGAATTTGGTATGCATATAGAATGTAATAATTTTGACATAATTATAATATATATTTAGCAATGCCACTGGATGTAAATCAAACTACATTCAATCACTTATCACACAATAACATTTGTTGGTTCAAATGTTTTTCATTTTCAAGACTTCATTTTATATTTTATGTTCAGTGTTGGATAACATATATTGATGTGCATCTAGTCATTAAATTCTGCTGTCAGATCAAATCATTTGTAAATCATTATGGGAATGTCAGGATTTGTTTTTTGTTTATAAACACTGCATCTGACTGGAATGCATGATATTTGAGCAGATGTGAGAGGCCGGAGTTCCTGTAATTAAGAATTAGGCTTCATCTATGGTTATGATAAGGTAAAAGCTTGTTCTAAGTTAAAGTAAGGTTTTAGGGTTAAGTATAGGTAAGGGTAAGGGTTAGTTTAGTATAGCTCTTTATGAGTTGGGACCTGAAAAGTAAAAGAAGGCCAGATTTTTTGGTAATATAACCCTTTTGAAGAATGCTGAAAAGTATAAATTAGCTGTTAGATAACAAATAAAAAGTAGACATATTTTATATAAGTCTTTCATTGTATGTTAAAAAAATCCCAGATTTGGTTTGGTTATGCTTTTTATTTTGTAGATGTTATTTCTGAATAAATGATGTAAATACTTCAGGAAAAAAAAATCAGATAATGACATATATTTTAGAAATATTTAAAAATACTAACAGTAACAAAATATGAGTTATTCACTGCATATGTTGGTGCATTACTTCTTTATTATTTCTGTTTATGTGTTGTTGTCCTGTCTATGCAGTCAAATAATAAATTTACCTAATTGCAGATTGGATCATTTAACATATTAGTCAAGTGGTAAAATATATTGTCTTAGTGATACAGAATGACTGCAGTAAATCAACAATGTAAGTAGTGGAATTTTAAAATGTAAAATACTTACCTAATCTTGGCTGTGTGAAATACGATTTGAACACTTGGTGAAAAGAAAGTCAATTTATTAATTGGAAAAAGACATGAAAAGTTATTTTATGATATAAATTTGCTATTATATCTTTATTTTTAATATAATTTTATATCTTTTTTTTAAAGTGTGCTATGATTTCAGATCTTTTATGACTAAAATTAAAACCTTCATCTAGAACATACTTTTTGGGGAAAATTGTAAAAATGTTTCAATTTCTAAATATTTAGAAATGAGTTATCTCCCATTGAATAAGTAAACAATTTAGTCCTAATATTTTTTTACAAATAATTCCTTTGCTCAATTCTGCATTAAACTTTTTGTAAAAGAAATTGAACAAAAGATTCAGATAAAGTTTTAGACCATAAGTATTGTTTATAAATCAAATGGTGTTCAATTTGCAAAAAGTATTAAAAAAATACAAACTCCAAAGTAAGTTCAAAAAGGGGATGTCCTTAAAAACTGACAAAAGCAAACATTATAAACCAACAGAACGAGTAGAAAACGTCTGTCATATTCCTGACTTGGTACAGGCATTTTCCAAAGAAAATTATGGGCTAAACCTCCCACTTGTATGTCAGTTGTTTATAGTTCTGTTATATGGACACAATTGGGTGCAATTTAAGAATTAATATCACTTTATCCGGTTATTCAACTGTTACAATAGTACCCTTTCATCCATTCAGTACAGGGAGAGACACAAGGAGATGTAGTATGCTTGCCAATGAGACAACTTTCCACCAGACCAACTGACACTAATGTTATCAACTATATAACACTGCTTAAGTCTTGGTCTATTTGTTTGATTATTATTTTTACCAATTGACCAATTACTGCATGAGGTTCATTTTTTGCGAGTTTAAATTTTTATTATTCAATAGGACAGTTCCATTTGCAAAAAAATTGAATAGCCAGGTAAACACCTACTAAGTCTTGGGAAAGGTTTTATTTCCTTTGCAATAATTACAAAAATTAACCCCTCACGAAAATGTTCCACTTTACATTAGGATAGATGTTTCCAACTGCAATTTTGGTAAATATTTTATGTGACTGCAAAGGCAGAATGGCATCATATACTGTCCAGTCACTATCATAATTTTGTACAAAAACAGAAAAGTGTACTATTAAAGTTGACATTTCCAAAATGATAAAGTATGTAAGTATGAAAACAAACAATTATTTTATGTTCCTGTATTGAGTGTTTTCTTCTAGATTGTCCTTTATCAAATAATTCATTTGAAATTTAAGAGTAATTTAAAACATTAAATATTACCTGTCACTATGTAACTGGAATACGTAATGTCATCCATGTACATCATTCCATCATCCAAAAGTCCAATGATTGTGAGGCCTTCTGTAGACATTTAGCTAATTTTGGGTTTATCAGTGTATTGTAGGTTATTACAGATATAGTTAGCATTTCGTTTCTGATAATATTCTTTTCATGGAACGATAGGCTTTATTTAGTTTGACCTACTTTTGATAAAATTGTACCTGTTGGACTAGGAAAATTTGATGGAAATACATATGTATATTTGCTTTCACTTTTCTTTAGATATTCCTCAAGATATGAAGCTAATTGATTGTATGCAGTGTTTAAATGTATGGGGTCATTATCGAGTTAGTGTTTGGTCTTGTTAAAAAAACTGTTGCACCTGTGCACATCTTATTGGCTTTGGACAGGGACGTTTGTGTTGTATCAACATGTTACACATCAAGTATTAGTCCTTACTCAAGTAACAGATTCAGTCATGAACTTCATGATCCCTTTGCCATTTCTTGCATTTAAGTTCATTCTTTTATCAGGATATTGAGATTTATATGTTGAGGTAATCTTGGTTGTTTAACGGTTTGGAACCTTGCATTGCAGTTGTTGGCTTATTTTCTTGTAAAAAAATGTTAAAATCATACAATGAAATACTGCACAAGGTATTTACCAAATATGAACAACCACATATCACTATAAGACATCTAATAGCTAGTATAGTCCATTTGATTTCAAAATATGTTTAATTGGTTAAAATCCATACTTTTTCATATGTCCATTGTCCTTGACCTCATTTTCATGGTTCAGCGACTGTTTGAAAAAAAATTTGAGCTTTTTTGTCATGTGAATTTCTCACTTATGAGTAATAGGATAACTATAATTGGTATATGGGTTCCTTGCAAAGTCTACATGTCTGTCAGACAGAGTTCACCTGACTTTGACCTCATTTCATGGATCAGTGATCAAGGTTAAAGTTACGTGATAAGGTTCGTTTCTCAAATACTATAAGCAGTAGGTCAACTATATTTGGTGTATGGAATGATTGTAATGGTACATGTCAGTCTGGCAGGTTTCATCTGACCTTGACCTCATTTTCATGGTTCATTAGTCAATGTTAAGTTTTTGTGTTTTGGTCTGTTTTTCATGTACTTTAAGCAATAGGTCAACTATATTTGGCTTATGGAATGGTTGTAAGGTGTACAAGTCTGTCTTGCAGGTATCATCTGACCTTGACCTCATTTTCATGGTTCATTGGTCAATGTTAAGTTTTTGTGTTTTTGTCTGTTTTTCAAGTACTATAAGCAATAGGTCGACTATATTTGGTGTATGGAAAGATTGTAAGGTGTACATGTCTGTCTGGCAGGTATCATCTGACCTTGACCTCATTTTCATGGTTCATTGGTCAATGTTAAGTTTTTGTGTTTTTGTCTGTTTTTCAAGTACTATAAGCAATAGGTCAACTATTTTTGGTGTATGGAATGATTGTAAGGTGTACATGTCTGTCTGGAAGTTATCATCTGACCTTGACCTAATTTTTATGGTTCAATGGTCAATGTTAAAGTTTTTGTGTTTTGGTCTGTTTTTCAATTAGCATATGCAAAAGGTCAACTATATTTGTTGTATGAAAAAATTGTAAGGTGTATATGTCTGTTTTATCTGACATTGACCTCATTGTCATAGATTTTTAAAAATGTTAAGTTTCTGTAATGCTTTTAGTAATACCTTTATCTTTAAGACTTTCAACATAAAAACAATGTTCAGTAAAGCAGGCGAGACATTTCAGCATGTGCACTCTTGTTATTAGGTAAGAGTACTGATACAATACCAGTATGATTGACAACTGTCATGATCAACAAACAATCAGAGACAAAATGGAGCCTAAATTGGAATGCCTACAATCTTATATGCCACTTTACATCCCCCTTTGCCGATCTTGTAAACCAAAACACAAAATAAAAATCCTGCACAGTGCATCTACCAACAGGATGACAACTAACTTGAACAAGAAAATCAAAATTGTACATGACTGATTTGGAAAGCAGGGTAAAAAAGTTGTCACTACTATAGGGAGCCAGTTTAGGTATTTACAGCTGTTGGTTGGATTCTGCGCTCAAGACAACAGAAAAATCTGAAACACCACTTCTGATATTTTAAACGTAAAAGAGAGTTTGGACAATTTTTTGATAACTCAATTTTCAATGTTTTAGAGGAGTGAAAACAAAACATGAACGAGCTTCATTGCTGAAGAGAACCTTTTGGATTAAACTTCATCGCGAAAGACTAGTCTAAGTTCTCTAATTCAAGAAAAATGAAAATCATTGAAAGTAAAAAGGGATCATGGAAAAATAATTTAAGAAGTCTGGGGTCGTTTTATACGAAGGAATAGGACACTTGAGTATAATAATAAAATTATGAACACATAAATTCTAAAGTTTAGCTAAAAACATGGTAGTGTCCATGCACTTGCAAACATAACTACTGTGGATTACTTTTCTTGTCTGATGACAAACTTCCCACACTAACTGCTTTCATGTTATTCACTGTAACAGAGTAAATTAATAGAACCATACATATGTTTGTTAAATATACACGAGAACGTATAGATTAAAAAAGTATGAAACATGATATCAACGAGGCAATCACAAACAATGAGTTGAATAAAGACTGACAATTAACGTCGTGTGAATCTAATAATGATGTAGTTCCCATTTGGTAATAGTGGTAAACATTTGAATTAAAGTTTAAAAACGCAATATCTTAAATATTTGATTGAGACATAAAAAGTTATATATAGGAATCGAATTTACGTACACGAAGAGTAACTCTTTGTTCAATTGTATTTTTGAATAGACAAGCAACATAGATAAATAAAGCATTTCCTTTTCTGGAGATAGAACATTTCACTACAAACAATGTTGTTTTAGAAATTTATCCCTATTTTTTTATATCAGATAGACCATGGATTTTTAACTGTGTAATATCCCC